GTTTTTTTTTTTTGGTAATTTAAAAAAAAAAATCAGTAAAAAAATCGAAAATTTAGATCCAGTGTAGTAAGGTGTATTATGGTCTACTAGTTTAGATGCATCTAAGGGTGAAAATTGATGATGCACCCATGGACCACTTGTGAAAGTGGTCCTTCAGAGAATTCACCTTATATACCAGGTATTGTGTCTGGTCTTGTATTGAAAATTTTGAAAAAGTATATAGGATCCCCAATCCCAGTTATATCGAATCTAGTTCGTCAGATATAACTTGAAAACCTACCTTTCGTTAATGTTACGTTACACTTACCATGTGTTATGTTTGGATAATGTCTGCTATACAAAAAATCACAACCTTTAAATTCATTTGTGTAAGCACAGACCACATGCTTGTTCCTGAAAATGAGAGAACCAATGAACGATGGATATAACTCGTTGCAATCAGCATTTTAGAAGTTAACGTCCTTGAAATGATCGTGTCACAATCAACGTCCATTCTTAAACTAGTCTCTCCTCGTTATTATACTTGGTCAAAATTTTGAAGGTAGATTTGGTCCTTTCATTACCATTTCTTTTCTGACCCACTGGATTTTCAAATTATTTCAATCTCACATTTGTGTTTTATGATTGCCAATTGGTTTTGGATGTATTTGGATAAATACCTTAATTAAGTACGTATTTAGTGAAACTTATTTGTTAGTATGACATCATAATTTATTAAAATAATTTTAGAAAAAAACCTTTATGCAACTTATTGAAATTAATTAAAAAATATAAAATGTCGTAAACCATGGTTATAAGTTCAAATAAGCTTCGTATAAACTCTTCCAACCACAACTTTACAACTCCATATTGGTCTCGACTTTTGTCACATAAAACAATCTTCCATTGCCATACAGGCCTATGCCATGTTTTTAGCTTCTTGTTATTGGAGGAATTATATATTATATATATGATATACAAAAAAAATTCAAAATATATTAAAAATAATAGAAAAATTTTATACTGTCTTTACTAAATTATTTTAAATCTATCTTGAATTTTCAATCAATGATGTCATAATGCAGAAATTTTCTTGATTGTTATATTGCAAAACATCAACACACGAACACAAACTTAATCAGAACACACTTATGGTCCATCAGCAAAAGGCCCAAGTGTGCATCAAGATTTATCCTCCTCCACACCCAAGCCCAACACCCATTTGTGTGAATCGAGTTTGGTGCTACAAATAATTTCATTACATTTATAATTGCATTATCTCAAATTGTCACGTTCCTCAAGTTATAATATAAATAAATGAGTGAATCTTAAGCTTATGTTGTATGTTTCATTTATATTTGGAAATTTGATTGTAAACAAATTTAATTTTGTTACGATAACTTTAGATCAAATCTATTAATTTTGGTAAAAGAAAACTAGAGTTAATTAACCTTTGCTCAAAAATCTTTTTTCGAAATGAGTTTAACCATTGTACACAAAAAAGATAATACATGTTCAATTACTATCAACGAATAATCCTAAATTATCTTGCACTATCCTCTCATTAATCTTGACAAACTAGGTCTTTTCATGTTTTCAAGAAAATAAACGTATTTTAGTTTAATTATTCCTACAAAATATTAGAAGGGTTATAAAGAAATATAAGCATAGGCATAACTTCTCATTTGAAATCCCATATCTTGCTTTGACCACTCATGCATATATTCTTGCTTTTATGGTGAATTTTGGGATTTGTGATTCCATTCGTGTGATAAAATAGCAGTACTACATGGGGAAAGTGGCGGAGGATAGAAAGATCGTTGTCGACATTTCAACCCAAAACAAGAATGAAGAAATAACAGGAAATATTTTGACATCAAATTAACAAGGTTTAATCAACTAGCCATATAATCACGAAGAAAGATGGATCCGTCTTAAAAATAATATATGATCCCAAAAGGAATAACAAAAAGAAAATTCTCGGCCGTTTTACTATGAATCCCCGAAATCAAAGCAAAACCTGGTCTCCATCAAATGAATCACACGTCCTGCACACTTAAACCTGCAAAGGCGAATCAAATACATGTAAGACAATGACATAAAACCTTCACTGGAACTTCCGCATCAAATTAAAAGCGCATCATCAAAAAGTAAGGAAGAAAGAAACAAGACCCAGTTGAGACATTCAACATAACGTGTTTCATTTTTGTTGATCACAATACAATTTTATCCTTTGCTTCCCTACTTTGAAGAACACCATTCCAACTTTCAGCTAAAAGCAAAACTAAACCATTTACACAATTCACCAACCTAAAACTTACATATTCACATATTAACATATCCACAGAAGCATCAAACATGTCAGCATAAGGCTATGTTTGAAAACCGACGGAAAAACACACATTCCAAATAATCAAACTAGGAAGCAACTTTTTCTACCTGTGACTTAGTAAGGTTTCTAACAGAAAACCAAACACACTATGTAGTTGTTAACGACTAACCTGGAGGGAGTGATTGCTTCAGCTTATCAGCCTTCTCAGAATCAAACACACAGAGGGTGTACAGGTACCTGGAGCAACGGACCTTGAACTTCACCACATCTTTGCTACGCTTAATTTTCACAGAGCGTGCATCCTTCCTCCTTGCAGTGAGGAGAAAGTCTTTAATCTCATGAATTTGCTTCGGCTGCAGAAAACACCATATGCCGACATCAACCACCAAAACATAGTATTAAAAATCAAAGAAATGGCACAATCTGAACAAACACATACACACAAACTTAAAAGGCATTTAAGCTCTACCATTGAAAGAATTACACGAGCAATATGGCTTAACCTGTCGCAATTAAAAATATATAGGTAAAATGTATTTAGGCCCTAAATTTTCAGTTAAAATTAGTCTTAATTTCTATGCCTAATATATTAGGATTTTGGTCCTCCTCCTCTATTTGTTTTAATTGCTGAATTTCACCCCTGACCCTATTATCCCCAGTTCCATAAAAAGGGACAAAAATTCAACAAATTTTTTACAAAAAAAATCGAGGACCAAAATCACAGATTTTAAATTATACGGACTGAGAATAATATTGGTAGAAAATACACAAAAACATTGTTTCAACTTCATAATCACAATTGTACTTACATTAAAAAAAAAAAAAAAAAACTGGGGGAACGTTGTCTCAAGAAAACAAACAAATATAAATACACGTTGGGCTTTGGTTCATCAATACTAAGAAATTGAAAGAGGGGAATATCAAAGCCTTTTGTTTTCACATCACAAAATGCGAATCAATCAAATGAAAAATGCTACAACAATTGGTGAAGGTAATCGGAATAGGGAAAATACCATAGTGTACTTCGCCGCGATTCCCTCCTCCAAAGGCTCCAACTCCACCTGTCGACTACACTCACTTCAGATTCATAAACCAACTTGTTAGGGTTTATAAACTAAACCCTAGATTTGACCCATTTTCCACCCTCAAGTATTAACTAAATGACGTTGATATCCTTCATTCAAATGGGCCTCGTTTTATCTAGTGAAGCCCAATAATATTTGGGCTCATATTGTTCGGGTCCGGATAGATTCATATTGTTCGGGGGGCTATTGGTTTTAGATTGAGTTAGGATCATGCATGATATATATACTTTCTTTTTTTATAAGTACATCCCTTTTTTTTAAAAAAAATAATTAAATTTAAAAATATTCTTAAATTTTATTATTTTTAATTTTTAATTTAACATTTTTAATATTTAATTTAACACTTTTTTACACACCTCTTTTCCTTATTTTCACATGCACTCATTTAATTTTCCTCTACCAGCACTTATTTTGATAGATAATTTTAATTCTTTTAATTTTACATTATTTTTTTTCCTTCCTCTTTCAGTTTTTTGTCTGATTTCACTATTCTCATGGTACTCCAGAATAGTGAAAATGTCTTTTTCATAATACTAAACTTAATGTTAAGGTTTTTAGAGAGGTGAAAGAAAAGAAAGTGTTGAAAGAAAAAATGTATGTCTAGTTTGATAGAAACTGTCGAGAAAGCTGCATATATCTACAATGTTGTCGTTTACCAGTTTTGTGATTTGGGTGCATGTGAAAAAGTGAAAGAGGTGAAAAAATAAAAGAGTAATGTAAAAATCGAGGGAACTAAAACTATCCATTAAAATATGTGAAGAATTGGAGAAAGATAAGATAGTGCATGTGAAAACTGAAAAAAAAAATAAATGAGGTGTGTGAAAAGAAAAAATAGTAAATTGAAAGTTAGAGATGTCAAATTAAAAAATAAAAAAAACTATGGATATTTTAGGGTTTTAAAAAAAAAAAACTGGGGGAACGTTGTCTCAAGAAAACAAACAAATATAAATACACGTTGGGCTTTGGTTCATCAATACTAAGAAATTGAAAGAGGGGAATATCAAAGCCTTTTGTTTTCACATCACAAAATGCGAATCAATCAAATGAAAAATGCTACAACAATTGGTGAAGGTAATCGGAATAGGGAAAATACCATAGTGTACTTCGCCGCGATTCCCTCCTCCAAAGGCTCCAACTCCACCTGTCGACTACACTCACTTCAGATTCATAAACCAACTTGTTAGGGTTTATAAACTAAACCCTAGATTTGACCCATTTTCCACCCTCAAGTATTAACTAAATGACGTTGATATCCTTCATTCAAATGGGCCTCGTTTTATCTAGTGAAGCCCAATAATATTTGGGCTCATATTGTTCGGGTCCGGATAGATTCATATTGTTCGGGGGGCTATTGGTTTTAGATTGAGTTAGGATCATGCATGATATATATACTTTCTTTTTTTATAAGTACATCCCTTTTTTTTAAAAAAAATAATTAAATTTAAAAATATTCTTAAATTTTATTATTTTTAATTTTTAATTTAACATTTTTAATATTTAATTTAACACTTTTTTACACACCTCTTTTCCTTATTTTCACATGCACTCATTTAATTTTCCTCTACCAGCACTTATTTTGATAGATAATTTTAATTCTTTTAATTTTACATTATTTTTTTTCCTTCCTCTTTCAGTTTTTTGTCTGATTTCACTATTCTCATGGTACTCCAGAATAGTGAAAATGTCTTTTTCATAATACTAAACTTAATGTTAAGGTTTTTAGAGAGGTGAAAGAAAAGAAAGTGTTGAAAGAAAAAATGTATGTCTAGTTTGATAGAAACTGTCGAGAAAGCTGCATATATCTACAATGTTGTCGTTTACCAGTTTTGTGATTTGGGTGCATGTGAAAAAGTGAAAGAGGTGAAAAAATAAAAGAGTAATGTAAAAATCGAGGGAACTAAAACTATCCATTAAAATATGTGAAGAATTGGAGAAAGATAAGATAGTGCATGTGAAAACTGAAAAAAAAAATAAATGAGGTGTGTGAAAAGAAAAAATAGTAAATTGAAAGTTAGAGATGTCAAATTAAAAAATAAAAAAAACTATGGATATTTTAGGGTTTTTTTTAAAATAAAAATTAAAAGAAGTGTACTTATAAGAAAAAGAAAAAGAAAGAAAAACAAGGTGTATATATGATTAGCCTTGAGTTATTTCCCCAAAAATGATTTATAACGCAACGCATTGATTAAAAAAAATAGCAAATGACTATCGAGTACTTGTATAATTATTTCACAACTCTATTTAAACTGTTGCATCAGGCTAATTATCAACCGTTAGATCATACTAATTTTCACAACTCTATTTTAACCAATATTAATCATGGCAGAAAGTCTATTGATTTAGCAAGTCTATAGACTGCTAAATCAAAAGTCTTGGGAACCAAAAAGGGTCATGTGAGTCAAATTATCCTTTTCCTTTTCAAAGAAAAAATGTTAGGGCTAAGTGTATCAATAGTGTCCACAGTCCATAAAATAAATATTTTTCATGTCACGAGCCCTCTTTCTTATTTATTTATTATATTTTTTTATTTATATATTTTTTAACTATGATAATATTACAAAGTATTTACTATTAAAAATATTGATTAATCTTTTGTTAAGGATTTCCAGCATAAAATACATATTTCTCTTTTAACATAATTTATTATATATATAAAATCAAGATTTGAATCATAAACAATTTAATTAATAGATATAAATTAGAATCACTCGTAGTAACTTGTGTTCATACCACAAGCCCATGAAATTGGAGGACTCAAAGCAAAGTGTTTCAAATTTTACCAATTGCGCATGTTTGGAATAACATTGTTTGAAGTTTCAAACGTCTTCAAACAAAAGCTACACAAAAATACGGCAACTCCTGCGTTTTTAGTTCCACTAGTGATAAATGTTTATAAAAAATGCTAAATAGTACCCAAAAAAAACTTTCCTAGTAGTATTATTTAAATTGAATATCTAATTTGTGATGAGATTAAAATAGGCTTTCCTCACTGTGTACTACGATACCATAAAATGTCTAATTATGCAACAAAAAAAAATATTTTTAAAATTATATATATTCCTTCGCTCAAAATTAAGTAAAAAAGAAAAGTCAAAATAATAAAATTTTCATTTTACATAAAAGTCTATTCTTTTTCTTCACGTGGCTAATAATTCGAAAATCAATATATTTCAGTGAGAGAGACTTTTGATTGGTTAAATGATATCGATAATTAGATTCATTTAACAAAAGACTCATTTCTACATTTTCAATGAATCTAATATATTAAATTCATTATTCTCTCAATTCTCTGTAGTTCAAAATACAATACATGCTATGCTATCTAGACGTACAATTGAAAAGGCCTAATAACTCACTATGCTTTCTATGACCTTTTATGAAGTTAAAATATTAGTATAATTATCATCATAATAAGTCTAATTAGCTATACGGTACATTATATTAACATTTGATGTATTAATAATGTATGTAAATCTTTTATACAACAAGATTGCCCGTTATTATGGTAAATTATATGTACTATATATTAATATAAATTTATAATATTTATACTAATTAATAGTTTAGTTTTTATTTGACAAAAAATATACTAATGGAAAACCATAATATATGCCGTTTGTGTGTGTTGAGAATATCACTTTCTAAAATCGATGTGTGAGTTGTAGTAATCAAGTTTTGGAAAAAGAGAATAAAAAGTCTTATATGTAGCGAGATATTTTCTGTTTCCTTTTTCCTTGACCCTGTTTCTTTTATAATAAGGATCAATATTCCTTTGATATTGTTCTTCTTCGTTTACTACGGTTTGAATACTAGTGCATGGAAGTATTTATATATGTTTCTTCGAAGCTACCTCTGGTTTTTCTCATAGACCAATTGATGAAGCAATCATGTTTATATAAGTGATGAGAGAAATATGAAAAAAGTGTAGATTAATTATTCGTTGTCATGCATGTAATGTGTTTTATGGTGTGTTTGCATTCTTGTGCATGTATATATCTATGTGTACGAAAGAGAGAAACCAAGAATATAAGTTATTGTGTGGGTGTGATAAGCAAGTAACGTATAAAAGAGTACTAATAGTACCAACAAGTCCAATCTAAATCCAAAAAGTTGCTTGCCACTATGTAATGTTGGCCTAGAAACTAAAAAGCAGGGATGGCAAGAGCTAAGTCATTAAAGCAAATATGCTATTCAAATCATCACTGGACCAAAAGCCATGCATATACCATTCACTCGGTAGCCCTCATGCTAGCCATCAAGTTCTCTCATGGGGCCCCTCTTATTCTTTTTCCTTCTACCTCCCAATTCTAAACAGGTCATTAATCAATATATATAATTCAAATTAATATAGCTAGAGAGGATTTATAGCTTAATTGTAAATTTTAATTATTAAAACTATATATAACTAAGAAAAATATATACAAATAATTAGATGCAATAATTATGAAAAGGAAAACAATAGATGTGTAATGTCATAGGTTTGGTAGAAATCATATATGAGGTATAATTTTGTTCTAAATGAAAAACTTTTTCTACCAATAAGGAATATATTAATGCAATTGCATTTCAAATAGAACTAGAACTGGTCAAATATGAGAAAACAAGATGTGTAAATATGATCCAATTTTTATACAAATCTTGTTTTTGTTGACCTTTCATGAACACTTTTTTTATTTTTAAAAAAATTATATGTAATATAAGATTTTTGATACTTAAATTTTATTGGTTTGATTCAACTCAACAAGTGAGGTCAATTTGATATTTTTATTTAAAACTTGAATTCAACTTGATTTCTGAGATTTTTTTTATTAACCTAAAACAACTTTAGTGCTCGAAAACTGTGTGAAAACCTTACATATATATATATATAAAGCGGTGTGTTTCAAATAATGCTTAAGTATTGATACTTAAAATGTATAGTGATAACTCATAATTGGAGCTAGATAGAAATCAAAGCCATTCCATTTATGTATATAAAGAAGACTGTGCATGAGTGTGGCCCATGGAAGAAAAAAGAAAGGTAAAATTCTAGACGCTGATAACTTTTGAAAATTATGGCACATGTACGATTCCATGTTTCCCACTGATGGAGTTCTTTCTTTTCACCAACTTGCCTCTTTAAAGCGAAAGCCTGTGGAAGGGTAGAGTCATTCAACAGTTATCATCGAACTCTTTCAACCCTATCTCGGATATATTCATGTCTATAACTGTTTGAGATCCCCCACAAAAACACAACATAGCAGTTTATTCTACTATACTTTTTTCTACCGGGTATTAGAGGACTTAACTCATCATTCCTTCAAGTTTGTAGGATTATATATATTTAGATAGGTTTTAATATCATTATATACAATGGGGATCCAATGCTCTAGGTTAGTTTGCTAATTTTTTTTACAAACTAAAATTAATAATTATCATTATCACACATAAAAAAAACAAAATATAAATATAAAAAATAATCATTAGTAAATTCAATATATAAAATTAATATAATGTTTTTAAATATATACTAATAATTTAATTAAAATAAAAAGATACATATACTTTTCCTTATTATAATATAGGTTCGTCACTGTTCATATATAAAAATCTATTCATTCTAATTAATTATCGCTCTAAACAATTAGTTCGAGACTTCAAGAAAAGGGTTTGTCGTCCAAGTATTCAAATAATATTGTGAGAGATTTTAACCGTATGAATTAGATATAGGAAGAAAAGAAAAGAAAATATAAAACAATTAAGTAGTATAATAAAGAGAGAATTTTTTTTAAAAAAATATAAAAAAAGTATGTGTAATAATAGTATTATATATAATTTTATAATTTATAAGCCTTTGCATTTCTCTCATTCAAATTATCTCTCATATTAAACAAAAATCTATATATTTGTGAAAGTGTTGTGAGAAGTTTTTCTTCAATGTGAAGGTTTGCAATTTTTTATCTTCTTATCTAATTTAGTTTTTATTGATTATAATTATTTGTGAACTAAATATTAATATTTTAAAATAAATTATCAGTAAATAAAAATATTTTTTTACAATACAAAGTATTTATCGTAAATCTAAAATATATTTATATATTTAACAATATTTATATATGTATACTAATTTTAAATATAACTTATATATTCAAACATAATATATATATATATATTATAAATTTTAATTATATACAAACATGTATGTGCACTATACAAATTAACATACTAGTCATTTTAAAATCTTAAAATAACCACGTAAATGATCCTATGAAGTGTTATTACACTAAACGATGTGTTTTTGGTAATATTTAAAAATATTATTTAATTATGAATAAATATTATTAATATTGTTTTTTTTGGAAAAACTTTAATTAATAACAATTTTAAAAAATGTTATAAAAGTGGTATTTTGTAACATTTTATTAATGTTGTTAACTTTTTGTAAATTTAGTAAAATAATAATTAATTTTAATATAGATGGTATTTAGGTATGGCAACGAGATGAGTCAAACACGGATTTCATGATACCCGTCCCCATTCCCGCGGTTCAAACTCATCCCCAACCCCGTCCTCGTATCTGTTGGGTATGTAATTTTCATCTCATCCCTGTCGACATCGGGTATTGGGCATACCGGTACCCGTACCATAAAAAATTAATTATTTTTTTCTTTGCAAAAAAAATAATACACAATATTTTTAGCTTATCTTTTCATTATATTACAATTGTAATTGAGTTATTTGTCTATTTCATATTTTAATCAATGGATTTCTCAATAATTAAACAACCACAAATATTTCACATTATAATAAACGATCACATATAATTAAATATTAAAATTATTTAAAAAAATCAAATCGAGGATGTGTATTAAACCATGCGAACGGGGATAGGGACAGTTAACCGTCCTCATCCCCATCCCTAATTTAATATTTCAGATTTTATCCGTACTCGAGCAAATCGAGTATTCTTCATCAAAGTCAGGACATGTTCGGATATTATGGGTACAAATTTATTTGTCATCCCTAATGATATTATCACTTATACGTTATGGCTCTCGTTTACAAATCCTTTAAGATTGAAGAGATCTTAATCACCATCAAATTTATATCAAATATAAAAAATTCATTTATCTTAATTAACTTTCACTCGATGAATATATATTATTTATTGTGTGATTTTATTCAACGTAAGACTTTAATTTTATAAAGTAATTAGATATTGTAAAAATATACTCTTATATGTAATTTTTTTATTTGATACGAAACTTTAATTTTAAGAATAATTATTGATATAAAAAATGTTATTTTACCTATATTAATATTTTTATAAAAAAAATCTTACAATATCCTATTAACTTAATTTATCGTGATATGTAAGTAGATAAATATTAATAAAAATGCTAAATATAAGTGTCATTTGGCCATCGGATTCAACATATATTATTATGAGTTAATCACTAATACACTGTTAGTGTAAAGTTTTTTTTATATTGACAACCAATTATATCTTTTAATTATTCCATGTCATTATAAACACATTTATTTTTAACAGTAATATGACACAATTAAAAGATATAATTGGTTATCAGTGTAAAAATATTTTACACTAACAGTGTATAGGTGATTAACTGCAAAACTATTGATATACCTATAATCAAAAGACTTTACATTCCATTTGAATCGAGATTTTAGCTTTTTGTTCTAGTGATCTGGAACTAATAATATTGAAACTAATTTACTACGAGGTGATAGTGATATATATGAAATAATGTATTGATGTAAGTTTGTATAATTATTTGATTATTTATTTCATTATTTGTAAACCCATCATTTTTATTTTGGATTTAATTTTTTTTATGAAATTGGACAGAAATAGGCATAAGTTAAATACATGTTAGGGTTTGTTTGAATATTTTTAAATAAATATTAAAAAAGTCCTCCTGAAATTTTTTTATTGTAAATTATGTTAAAACAATAAATTATAACTCGAAAATTAAATTATAAATATAGAGAGAAAGTTATTGTACTTTACTAAATTTTTATCCATGATAATTGTGCATCGGACACTCAATGATAATGTAACCACCGTGGACATGCCAGGCAATATTTTAGCTTATGAAAAAATTATATGCAACATTTTTAGGTGCTTTCAATACAATTTTTTAATTGAAAATTTAATTTTATCTTATTTGAAACATTTTGGTGCTTTCAACATTAATTAGTGATATAAAATTACAATTTTAATTAAAGAATATTATTAAAAAAAAACTAAAATACTATATTCAAGTTATGTTATTTAGCTTATATAACTAATAAAAACCCTAGGTTTTGAGTTTTCAATGATGCAATTGTGTGGAGTACTTTGATGTATATAGTTTATATTCAACTGGATCCTGAATTAATTAGATGTTCAGATGTGATGTTTTAAAATTTATGGTCTTAGTTAAATAATAATAATGGAATTTGTCATGAATGAGATCTTCTTAATTTGTAGAAGGAACATTATGCAGAGATAAGTTTTAATTATGATAAGACGAGTCACCATTAAAGATAGCTTCTATTGTACATATTATTAATTATTTAATGATTTTTTTTTATTTCAACAAGAGACAATCCGAAAATTCTCTTATATTATATACCAAAGAGATATAGTGATGAAAAAAATTAAGTGCTTGAATTAGTTTTGTTAATACAATTTTTCTCAAATGAAAATTAAATTATTATTTGAATGTGTTAATTTTATATATTAATAATATGAAGTATCAATAATATATCATTTTCTATATACTGATACAAAAATTATCTGCCAGGATGAAATATTATAATACTAATGAAAATTATATTATTTGTTAATTAGGATATCATATATATACACTAATAGTTATTTTTTTAAGATAAAAGTTATATGAAGAAATAATCAAATAAACGTCTAATCATTAATACATGGACTTTTCCTTAAATTTTAATAAGAATTAACAGTCCAAACAAATTAGAATATTAACACTTTTGTTGGAAAATTATATGTAATTACTTCTCTTATTTTGTTATTAAAAAAATATGCTTGAAACACACTAAAAGTATGTGTAATTTCTTTCTTTAAAAAAAAAAGTCATAAGAAGAAATATGTGTATAACTCTTTTAAATGATCAATATGATGGGTGTGTGTGACTCATTAAAATAATTTGGTGTAATTGTAACTATGATATTATATATGTATTTAAGTAACTCATTGAATATACACAACATATATTAGATTTATTATTAGTATTATATTGTATATATATAACACATTTTTTTCTTTCACACCAATATCTTAAAAATTTTACTTTAGATTAATCTTACTCATTTGAAAAATGAATAAAGTATGATTAAAAATTACTTGATCAAATTCAAATACTACCCACACAATTGAAGAAAAATGATCCATCAACAATGTAGTTCTTTGGAAAAATTTCTAACAGAATTTACAAAATCTAACTTCATCACCAACATTCAATTCCTTTCTTTTTCCATTCCCCTCCAAATCAACCGTACGTAACACTTGAAGTATTAATTTCTAAAAGTTTATGTATGCACAAAAACACTTGGTGCAGATAACATTATTGAGATACATGATCGCGTTGAGACCTGACAAGGCGTACCAATGCAGTGAAAGGAAAGAAGCTCCGGGAAACAATATTCCATGGAATTCATATAAAGAGCACAAGTGCAAACACCTTCAAACAAGAGCAAAGCAATGACCTTAATTATAATATAAAAGTGTAAAGCTTAACAACACAAACTCCCAAGCAAAAAGCTTCCTCTTTATAAAGGAGTGTTGGACAGGAGAAAGATTACAAAGTATCACAAGACAAAGTTAAAAAGGAAAAATCCATAATATCATGGTCGTCATCATCATCACTTTCCATATATATCGATCCATGATCCATTGCTAATACTTGCTACTAGTATATAGAGCACCTTAATTTCCAGTGTACTTCTCATCACTCCCTTGGTTTTAAGGTTATCTATATAGTATTGCTAGCTACCAAACACAAATATATATTTATAATATAATAATACACATAGTAACATACATACATGTTGAATTGGAGTACATTTTTGAATTTCTAGGGTTTCCATGCTGAAGCCCAAATCACTGGTTCCTCCTTCCATGTCAAGTAAATTCCTGAAACATGATCCTCTCCCTGAGACACCACCAGCGACCACCCTGGCTGGTACCTCTTCAGCAACGCTTTCACATCATCCACCACGTCATCGCTGAATCCAAACGGCGAAAAAACATTCCTCAGCCTCTCACACCATTGTGTCCCTCTCTCTCTTCTCTCACACTCTCCACCATCTTCAACCTCCTCGCCACAACAAGCCAAAACCCTAACAATGCTCCTCGAACACTCCCTCTCCAGCATCAACCTCTCGTTGCTCGTGGCCGCGAAACTCTCCTCCAGCATCTCGAAGTAGAGAGTGTAGAATCTAAGACACTCCTCGAAACATTTCAGAAAATCCTCGCCGGAGCCCCGAAAATCGGCTTCTTCCTCCACGACGGTGACAACCTTAGGACTCAGAGACTTGAAAGCACGAATTAGATTTTCTCTTTCTTCCACTTCCACTCTTCGTAAAGCTCCAACGCAATTCACAGCCACGGCTTCGTCTTCTGCAATCCCTAATCCTTCTTTCGTGATTTCGCTTAAGCCGTTGATCACGTTGAATTGGAATGGCACTCCCATGAGTCTCGCGAACTTCTCCATGCGTTGACCTACCTATAAGAAAACCATGCCCAGAAGAAGATCACATTTTATATGAATTTAGAGGTAAGAAAAACATTCCTAGAACAACATGCATAATAAATTCTCAGAAGTACACTCGATCATATCTTCAATAAACAACAATCTGTTTGCATATAAATTTGAAAATTTTTTATTTTTAAGAAATAATTAAAAAACATTTATAATTTAAATAGTCAGTGTTCTAAGGTCATATTAATATTATGTGATGTTTACCTCCTTCATGACCGAGCCAGCAAACGCTAAAACGGTGAGTTTCAAGTGGGGTGTTTCATCGTTTCGTGTGGCCAAGGCTTCTAGTAACGTTGGCCACTGCGTGCAGAGAGTGTTGCTGATGTCGATGATGTGGAGCTTGGGCTCGCCTTCCAAGGCCTCGAGGATGGCGCCGTTGGACGCCACGTGGCCGAACGTGGTCCAAGGGCTAACCTCTTGGAATTTCAGAATCAGCTTCCGCATGGAGTCGAAGGAGTGGTTCTTCTCCGCCACGGAGGAGAGCGTTTTGTAGCATCTCTCGCCGGACTCGGTGGCTTTGCAGAACAATGCTTGCAAGAAGTATGAAGCCAGTTTTTGGTCGCAATCGCCATAAGGAGAAGCTAGTTCGTTGAGCATCCATAGGAGATGGTGCGTTTTGGTGGAGTCGCGTTCTGATATGGCTTTTGCGCACTCTCTGAGAAGTCTCGAGGCCCATTTGTTGGCGTCTTCGGTGGTTTCGCTTGCGTCGGAGGAACGGCTGGTGGAGGTGTGGCTGTGGTTGCTCCGGTGCATGTTATCTAACGCTGCAACCTCGTCAATGGTATCATGGTTTTGGTTATTATTGGAGTGGAAGGTGGTTAAGTGTGGTGAAAGGTTGTTTGGAGTGTAAGGAGTTGTGTCCATGTTGATTTTTTTTTTCTTTTCTTTTCTATGGTTGTGGAAAAGGAACGATTTGACTAATTTTTTGCCTTTGAAGTGAAAAATGGTGTTAGTTATTCCAATCTCTTTGTGCTGAAATGGCGAACACAAAACTGTGATTTGGAATGAAATTATATACAGGGTCGTTGTCGCAACTTGTCATGGATTGTAGTATTTTAATGGTTTTGCGTCTGTATGTGTACTGATAATAACATGTTTAGTTAGTATATATATATATATATATATATATATATGTTCAAGTACAGGGACTATGTGGTTGTTGTTGGGTTGGATAATTTTATGTGTCTTGTTTATTTACCCTATTAATTACCTGGAAATTCATTTCGATAATAGACAGACAAGTATGTGGGGAGCTGTTATTATTATTATTTTATATAGGATAATATTTTCTTTGAGTTAATGTCATTATTACATTTGACATTTTACTTCAGCTTTAATTTTTATTTTTTTAGTCTCGCATTAAGACTTTTTATTAAAGTGTGATGTAACTGATAAAAGTTGAAAAACGAGATTGATATATGTTGCTTAAATAATTGAGACTAAATATAGTTTAATTAATGAACATCTTCAATAAGGGATTAGGATATATATCAAAAGCTTATGATTTATAGAGAATGAAAGAATGAGGTGAGTGAGTTAGGAAGGAATTAAAATAAAATAAAATAAACTGATAGAGACATAAATAGACAAGAAAATTTTTGGTAAACCAAAATGAATAAACAACTACTTTATAATTAATCATGTTTAAGCCATTCTATTTACTTATAAATACACTTGTTTTCTTTTTTTTTTATTGCTTTATATTTATTAAAAAAAATAATGTCATATACATAAAATAAGAAAAATAATTAAGTACAATTCTTTAGATCATAATTAAATTGTTAAAGTTTGTATAAATTATATCTGCTCGAAAACATTTCAACTATTAATTTGTCTGATTTTTAAAACATTAGCTTATACTATTTTATTTGAGCAAAAACTAAACAACGAAGAAACTTTATTGAACAAATGAATCATCGTATGAACTAATTATAAAATTTATTTAGTGTACTTATAATTAATTATGTTAACTCCATTAATTTATGTTTGATGGGTGAAGTGACATAAACGATCACTACAGACTTCTATAGTTTTGTATAGTAGAGTTGCGTAGATAATGTCAAAATTATATTAATAAAGAAAAATAAATTACTATACTACAAAGAAATCGGTCTGCATTTGTTTTATGATTAAAAATTCATATATAAGAATGAAAACTTAGAGATGTAGTACTCTTATGTTTATTATGAGTTATAATTTTTTTATATTATTTATTTTCAGGAAAATACATAGTTAATACCATAATTTAAAACATTTAAATTATTTTCACGACAACGTAAGGAGTTTTTTTTTTACAAAACGATTTCATTTTTTTTCTTATTTTAATTATTCTAAATTTAAAAAGTATTCTTAAAAAATTTAACCCTAGCTTGATATATATATTTTTAAGGGTAAATTATGAAAAAAAAACTATATATTAATAATGTAAAATAGTTTTATATTATCATTTAATCACAATTTATTATTTATTAATTCTAAGTTTGTTGACTTTTTATTATAATTACTTAAAAAATAATCTTAATAGAGATTTTCGATTAGTCGGCATTATAAAATTTTTCATGCAAACAGTATATAACTATTAAATCCTTATATTTTTAGTCCTTTTATTTTATTTTTAGATTCATTTCAGTCTTTTAATAATTAACATATTTATTTTAATAATTTATATTTTATATTTAGATTAATTTTATCTTTTTAAAATAATGATATTTTTAATTTTGTAATATAATTTTAAATATTTTTTTGTCAATTCAAAATGAAACTTATATTATTAAATTTATCTATACATAATTATGAAATTTAACTGATATTTAAATTTTAAAAACTTATAAACATAATAAAAATCTTATGAAAAATAAACTGAGCAACAATTTGAGTTTGGCAGACAAAAGATGAAAGGAACCCATCAATTCCTTGTCTAGTTTAATCCCACAAGCTGGTTTGGAAGGGATAAAACATAAATTCCCACACATAAAATATGTGGGTTAGGAATCCTCCATCACTCAATAAGGCAATCAGATCATTCTAAAAGAAAAATAACAAACAATATATTTCTTTAGTGAATGCAAACAAATGCATGCTGATAAAGGATATAGATAAATACTATATAACATATTATAATCGTACTTGATGTTGTTAGATATTTTAAGCTTTGTTGACTTCGCTATTAATCTTAAATGAAAAATAAAATTCACAGAATAGTTCCTTTTACATAACGATTTAATTACAAAAGATTATGTTGTAAGTTTGTTAATTATTTCAAAATCCACACCAAAGTTTATTTTTATTTATTATCGTATAAAACCTTTTACATCACCCGTTCATATCTATTAAACTCATCTTAAATTATTTATGTATTATTGAAATAATAACTTTAAATTTTTAATTTCAAATCTTTAAGATATTGTATAATTATTTAAAAGAGTATTATATTTTCTTTAATAGGATGTTTAGAATTAAAAATATTAGACTTAATTACACTTTTGATCCTCCTAATTTAGTGTAGGAGAAATTTTGGTCCTCATAATATTGAATTGCTTAATTTTGGTTCATAAATTCAAATAATGGACAATTTTAGTCCTATAAATAATTTACCATCCAAAATTTAACAGACGTTAATGATATAGATTTTATGCTAAATAAACATTAATTATATATTATTTAACTTCTTTTCTGTTTGTAGTTCAGGTTGTGTGTTAATGTTGCAACTGGAACGGCCCGATCTCCAAGCAGAACGGGCCGTTCTTCTTGCACACGTAGTCTGTTAATTTTGAAACTGGAATGTCCAAACAAAATGGCCCGTTTTGATCCATTCGTCATGTGTGTATTTTTGCATCCGGAACGACCCGTTCTAAAATGAGAACAAGCCGTTCTGCAAGGGCTGCAAGGAGAACGGGCCGTTCTGGATCTAGTTTTACACCATGCTCAGATCCAAAACGCAAAAAAAATAAAATTAACAGCTCAGAATTCGGTTCCCGAGAATCAAATTCTGAACATGAACAGTGAAATGTGCTATTTGGGTAAATAAATTGGTACAGGTACTTTTTTGGTAAACTTTTTTTAAAAAAATTCTATTTTAGTGAAAAATTCTCACTGCGATTGATATCAATACCCTTTTCATTTTTTTTCAATTTTATGTGAATTTAAAATTTTTAAAATTTGAATATTAAATAATTTGACACATAAGAAATTAAATGATATATAATTAATGTTTATTTAGCATAAAATTCATATCATTAACGACTGTTAAATTTTGGATAATAAATTGTTTGTGGGACTAAAATTGCCCATTATTTAAATTTATGGACCAAAATTAACCAATTCAAATTATGAGGACCAAAATTACTCTTACACTAAATTAGGAGGACCAAAAGTGCAATTAAGCCAAAATATTATTTTTATTTTAAGGATTTGTGTTTCTCTTCTAATATTAGGATGAAAGGTATTATAAAGATGAGAATATCTAGACAATTTCTAAAAGAAGTTACCATCTAAAATGAGAGAGAAATGTGAGTATAAACATAAAAGACTAAATCACATTAAATAAATTTGAAATAATGTATATTTATTGAGTCGTGAAATATATACATGAGAGAATATCATACTATATATTAAATAAATTTATGTAATCTTCTCTGTTTCTTTATGAAGTTTTTTTTTTTGTGTATGGACGATTAAAAAGTGTTAGAATTTAAGTATGAAATGAAGTTTTATATCGATCAGAGTTAAGTATATTAAGTAATATATAAATAAAAAAGATCACTTACTTAATATCTTAAGGTTTTAAGTTATATTGATATTAAACTCATTTATATAATTTATTTACTATCAATTGTGAGAGTGGTCCCTAATTAGTGTAAAACTCCTCAACAATTTTTCCCTTCTTTTAGGTGTCACTATTAGGTTTCTTTTCTTTTCTCCTTAAGCATTAATCCATGTTGTTATATATATTGCCAATTGCTTACTAATTAACAAAACGATGCTATATAAGATGATAATGATAACGACAGAGATGCATGATGATGACTTCCCTCCTGCTTGGATAGGCATATTGAGGGTATATGTCACCTTGTAAAGTTCAGATCAATATCAACATATATAAATTATTGTATATATATGCATAAAAAAAAATTACTCTACAAAATGCTTCCAATTCAGGTATATTGTCATTCTTGAAAAGCTTCTGATTCATGCATGTTGTCATCTTTTGATCTTATTAATTATACTATAGAACACCAAATTAGTTATTGCTGCCTAATATGATCTCAAAAGCCCAGAAGATAGAGAGAATGACACAAGTTGTTTTTCTATGTACTAAACTTAGATACTCTTCTAAAGCAAACACCGTAAACTTTAGTAGACATACAATGATATTATTTGTTAACGATTGTTCCAGGAAAAAAAAAATGATCACTCATTTTTAACAACTTTCCAACAAAAAAGTTATTTTTTTTTCTTTCAAAAATAAGTGTTCAATTAATCAAACACACTTTAGAGCAAACCATCAATATTTTCACTATCCCCACTCCTTGATGTGTTAAGTAGTATAAAAACAAACAAACAAAAAACTTAAATAATCCTAAAAATATTAAAAATTATATTAAATAGTCTCTTAATATTAATAAAATTAAATAAATCAAATGGGTCCCTAAACTTTCTCGAAATACATCAGCTTACGGACTAAAATAATGGGTATTTGATATTTTGGATGATATTTACATAATTTCATTATTTTAGGGATGACTTAGGAGAGAGGGTAACATTTTGAAATGAAATTGTTGGTTTATTCACAATTTTAATTTGTAGATTCTATATAAAGCGATGTCCTTTCCTCATTATAAATATGGATCTACATGCGTGTTTACATTAAGTTGCGCTAATTAATAGATAAAAATGATACGGTATCAAATAGAAGTTATTCCCCACCAATGATTAGGCAAGAAGACAAGGTTGAGAAAAGCTCTTGTTACCAACATACCATCTAATCATTGGAGAAAATGTCTTTGCCATAGCCTCATCTGTTTCTTAATAATAATTTTTCTTTGTTGAAAAGGTTTATGGGCGATCCTATTAATGGTGGTCCATGATTTTGCAACTTTCCTTGTCCACTACATGTGTGTCGCCTTATTCATCACTTTCCACAAGATATAAAGTTATGTCATCAAAGGATCACACTTTTTGACATGATTTTTCAACTTATCTCTTTTTAAATTCCAAGAGTTTATTATACGTAATATTGATGATATAATTTCGTCACTCACTATTTAATAAGACTTTTAGGCGACTAATAATTAAACTTAATTTCACGAAATTTGTTTTTCTCATTCCAGTTGAAAATTAAATCAGCTAATTTTGTTATTAGTAAATGTGTGTTCTTTAACTCTATGTAATGGACAGAACAAACAAATAAACAAATTAAGATGGGCGTTTGGCAGAAAAAAAAAATTACAAAGAAAATTGCAGCAGCAGCATGAAATCATTTCACAATGTATTTCAACAACAACTGATCAACTGCGATTAACTAACTGCACATTCTTTTAAAATCTCATGCAACAATCCATTATTAATAAATATCTTTTTATAATAAATAAAGTGATGGAGAGAAATAAATACAAAAGTAATGTATATAAATTGTTTTACATATAATATTACCTTTTTTAGGGAGAGAGGATTGAAGTTATCAAGTACTATCTAATAACTTTAATAATGTGTAACTTTTGTCAGAGAACTTAATTATCTATTCTTAATGGAATCTCTTTTAATTCCATTTCTTTCATCTACAAAATTCAAACCAATATATTACTTAAGAGATCAATATCATTTTTACTCGAACTAATAACTTATTGATTATAACTAGTCTTGATATTTTATTAAAGTCTATTAGTTTCTTATGTAAGTAATAATTGCAGACATAGATGGAAAAAGTTGAATGGAACTATTAAGTATCTATCGAATTTGTCAATGACTAATTTTAGTCAAAAAAAAAATTTGATTGAATCATCTTTAATGAGTTCTTCCGAACTATTTTTTTCATCTACTAAATTTAAACTTAAATCTTACTTAAAGAATCAACTTCGATTTCACTCATACCAATATCTTATTGGTTATAATTAGTCTTGATATCTTATCAAAATCTATTAACTTCATATGCAAGCAATAATTAAAGCAGGTGATGGAAAATTGGAGTCACATGACTTGTTCAAAGATCGGCATAACTTGGTAGCACTTTGAGGAAGCTGATGTTACATGCCTCCACTAACTTCCCCCTCAGATTGATATATCCAAGAACGGATGTGTCTCCAAATATAATTTTAGTTTCCTCTGGACTCTTCCTACACAAAAATTACCTTACGTCCAAGGTTTTCTAATTTCACTAAAACGTTGGATATCAAGGCACATACTTTTGTTATACTTTGTTTCTTTTTTTTATTATTTTCCAAGAATCGCCATTTAAACATATACTAAAGTGTAGCATTTCTAGAATAGAAGACATCGACTTTCATTTGCCTTATTCAGATGTCTCTATGTGTGGTACTAGAGACAGTTTAACCAATCTCACACAAACCTGGTTATTAGTCACGCAAATATACATAAATGCATGCAAACAAAGATGGACAATTACAACTTTGTTACCTCTTAACTTGTCCTACAACAACCGTGCAACCCAATGCAGAGTTGTGTTGTGGGTATGACAACCATAAACAGGAAACAAAAATGTGTAACTGTGATGCACTGGAGTGGCAGGACAATGGGATATGTGAGCCATAGCAGAGTTAGTTAAAGGTAATGATGGTGATAGGTTTGGAACAACATAGCAGTGAGTGATATAGGTTACAGCTGTTGTGGCAATGGCTCAAACACTGGCCATGGTCCTATGATTTAGTAATTGCCACCACAACTAGCATTAATCCTTTATAATTACAATTCATATGCCACTAAAGAATATGGCGGCAACCTTCATCAGTGAAACAGGTTCAATTAGAAAGTAATCGGACTTTATATTTTGTAATGTCACCAATGTAATTTTTTTTTTCTTCAAAAAATGTGAGTTTTGTTAGAATCCGTTTAAGATAAAAAATAATAAACCACACATGGTAACCCTGGAATCAAGTTTTATAGTTTGTTTCTCGGATACAAAGCTCCATATTGTTATAATATTGAAAAATCTCATCTGTTCAAATTTTTTCAGAATTAAATGTTTGGATGAGCTTTTCTGCACAAACTTAAGGGTAAATGCAGCAAAGATTTCCATGGTAGAATGTTGACGTGTAATACAAAGAATGATTTATCACTCATAGGAAAGTGGCAAATATATAAAAAGTTTCTCCTGTTTGATAAAGATTAAAAAATAAAATTATCTCCCAAAAAATTTACTAAAAATGCTAATTTATGAATAAGCGAATAATTTGACCACCTTTACACCCACGGTATTTGAGTACAAAGTTAATAAAAAAAATTTCATAGTAACTAACGGTAAATATTTAAATAAGAATAAAATATTCTTTCTACCAAACACCTATAAGAACTCATTTGTTCCAATGATGTTTTAAACTTGCTTAACTTTAAGTACGAACATAAGTAACTCCATTGGAGTTACTCCTTTTATTTTTAAGGTGGAGGGGGTTTATAAATGTGTTATTGAAGGAGGAAGACATCTATACGCGTTTTACTGTAAATTTTTGGTTTGTGATGGACCTTAATGAAAATTGATCTATTTAACCTCCTACACCTAATAAAATGAGGCTTGATTTTTATTGTTGTGTAAATAAACGTATCACAAGATGTGCTGATGTAAACACCGACAAGAAAAAGAATAAAAGACACAACTCACACAAGAGTTATAAAAACCGACCATCAAGCCCCAATATGGCAATGTCAATGACCCAAACTACTAAAAGTCAGATGCATAAAGATAAAAAAGGAGCTACAGACCCAATAAAAAGGAGTCATAATGGGGCTTGTCAGCACCTTTTAATAATTAACTTGAGTTAAATGGAAGTTTCTTTCTGAAAATAAGTACTAACATTATTATACAGACTCCATCATCTAGGTTACCATGTATAATTGAGTAGATTACTCTGAGGTATTAGAATAGATTGTCAGCTAAAGTCCAGTGCTGAGAAGTATAGTTAAAAATCAAATACTGTACCATAAACACGATTCCAACACAAGATAAAAGGAAAAGTTGTGACTTTCAATTACAGAGGTGTAGTTGTTGTCTGGCTAGCAGAACTAGTGCTTCCATCCCTTTGAGTGGCCATCTTGCATGTAGGGCTCTAAAAATCCGATAAACTGAAAATAAAAATACATGGAAAAGAAGTAGGTTGAGAATTTATCTTAAATACAAGTGCTATCTGTTGCCAAGTTTGGTTAACAATGAAACCTGCAAATTTAAAAGTACAAAACTTTTCTCCACGTTGAAACCTTATTCCCAGCCATTGAATAGTGGACGAGTCTAACAGAAGTTGCATCAAACGCTTAAATTTGAACATACTGTCATACTTCAAATTATGAGACAAATAGGATAATATGTACGATGCATAAACCTGTAATGGAAGCAGATAAATTTGAACATATTGTCACACACCTTACTTCCATCTTCTGTCCAGCGTGCACCATATCCATCAGCAACCCTTATTTCAAAGACAACTCCATGTGGTGGGACAGTGTGCACATTCAGCCAACAACAATGTGCTATTAAGCGGTTTATGACATCCATTGCAAGCCTATTTTTATTAGTATCTAGAAAGAACATTAAAAAGACGGGATGAGTGAAAACATGATCAACTATCTTATTGAAAGCAACACACTATTAATAACTCACTAAACATTTCAGCAAACATAGTGAACCTAACGCAGAAAGCTTCTTCAGACAGATTCTGTTAGAGCCCAAAGTCAATATATTTTTCAGGTTTTAGATCAACCAAAGAACAAGCCCAAAACGTGGATTTTGTACTCTTGGAAGAAGGCACATCATCCACTATATAAAGGGGGCTAGAAAAATAGTTGGTTAAAAAACGAATTCTTACCGTTTCCATTCAGAGAACCCCAATAACCACTGCTACTCCTACAAGCATGCTTGGCCAATGCACGAGCTCCATGAGTCAAGCCAATATCCTGAATAATGATCATTAGTGTTAATAAAGTCCTATGGAGGCCCCAAAATATTATTATGGCAAAAACAGTGAAAAGTCCTACAAAATCTTAGCATTCATTGTCAATGTGGAGCAGATTGCTCCTAAGGTTCTTACAGTTGAATTGCATGGCAAATTAAATGATGCTAATAGAGTTGATATTGGTGGAGGAAGTGCGTTAGGATTTGTCCCTGTGGTGTGCATCAGACCAAGAAGGCTTTGAACACCCTCATAACTTAATCCCTAGAAAAAAAAAAAAAAAAAGCAGAACAACTCAAGAGTCAGAAACTTTTTTAAAAAGAATATCAATACGAGAACACTCAAGTGTTAGTTCACCCGCAGTCAGGTGAAAGATGAACATAGTAACTGTCATTAGCTGTTTCTGTCCCTCTTATGTAATACATCAATGTATAATTACAATTTACCAAGTTAACCATTGTTTTTCTATCATATAAAACAAATACTGTGATCATCCGGAAGTAATAAAAATTAGCAAATCAAAGAAAACATCACACTAATAATTAATCATTAAGACAAGATGGAAGCAGCCTTTTAAAGGAAATGTAGATGATTTTCAAATCCAACAACAGATTAGTCGCTATGGTACCACAGGAAAATGAACCCACACAAAATAAGTTAGCCAAAGAATCATATGGTTGAGGAGAGAATTTTGAAACAATAATTGCAAGAACACCATTTGCCAGCTCCTTCTCCTCAGTGTAAAACCTCCGGTAGACTTTTACACCTGTAATGCTAAGCGAGTGTTACTCTGGAAGAATTGGTATACAATCTGCAATTGATTTAGACATAGAATGAATGGTGATTCTTTCAACTTAATTTTTTTTTTTTGGACGTATAAATACATCAAGAACAAATAACCTCCTGCAGTAGTTATTTAGTTCATTTAGGTTGTTCATTCGGAAATTCCATAAATCTCTGAATGGTTACTTATTTGTCTAGCTTTACAAGCTGATTCTATTTCTTTGTCTACAATCAGGACATTAAGTACCTTCTTCACAACTTTCAACTCCTGGAAGAACTTTTCCAAGGCTTTCTGCCTCCAACATGGCAAAGAACGTAGGATACCACCTTATTCCCTACATGTTGAAGTTAAGAGAGCAGAGCAAATCCTTTACAGACTGAAGCACTAATTATTAACAACACAAAGCATTACCTTTACTTCAAACACGACAGACTTGTTAAAGAGTATCAGATTTCCTGCTTTAATCCTGGAAACCAAATTAGGGGAAAGTGACAAAGCAAAACACAAAATGAATGACAATGAAAATGGCCAGCACATAGCTCATAGTAGATCAGTAGCAAAATATAAAGAGAAGATAAGATCCATATAATATGGCTCAAGTGATTATGGTATGATATTGTATGGAATGCATTTATGGATTTTGTTACGTAGCTTATTTTAATAGAATTTAAAATATGAAAATATCCACATAATTTCACTCCCTAGAATTTTATTCTTTTTTTTTTAATAATATTGGAAGGACATATAGGAAGAACAAGCAACTAGGCAGGGGAGGGGTATAGGCGGCCAAATGGAGGAGAATCAAACCATTCACAATCATCACAACCAAATCTTAAGCACGTGAGCCCATACTAGTTGGGCTACAAATCCTTTAGAATTTTCTTCCTGACATGAAAAGTCTCAAAGTTTTTAATAAATAAGCCAGTCGTTTGTTCAGTTGGTTGAGTTTGCCACCAATTGACTACTGAATGTTATTTTAATGTCTTTTGCATCTAGAATACTCAAAAAAAAAAGAGACCACACTTAACATTTAATTTGGTGGTCAAAACTGACTCAATGTGAATGGAAAATGTTAATGCAAGTTAGTGTGACACTCTTATAATGGTCAAAACTGTCATACATATCTAATATACTTTGAATTAAAAAAATATAATGAAACCTTTTGTATTTCCCATCGGCACACCTCCCTTCAATTGTTTTTAGGCCATCTGCAGGCAATAAAATCATACCTTTTAAGGCTTAGTAGAAATGAATTAGAATAGGAATGGTTACATCATGTTCAAAGACATTATTCATGGTACTTGCATGCAGTTTTTTTTCATTATGTCTTTCAGTGGCAAGAGATGATTTTTCTACCCATCAACGCGGTTTATGCAAAAGAGCATATTTTCCAGAGGTGATTACATTGAACATTATCATATTCAAATAAAGTACAGAGCAAAAAGTACCATTTAGCTGTGAAAAGAAAGGCTCTTGGACATGAAGTTCAAAGGAAACACTCTTCAAAATCTGTTGAAACAAAAGTTTACACACTACACTGAAACCAACTTAAGCATTGGATAAAGAGCAGCAGAGCAAACAAATGGAGTAGTTAAGACAGCATTATTTACATTCACCATTTCAAGCCCCTTCTCCACAATCAATTTGTGCCACTCATTACGTTTGTGCTGCATGGAAGAATCTTCAAATTCATCAACCATGGCTAAATTGCAGCCTGTCCCACAAAACGTTTCAGAATCCATACACCTCAACAGAGAAGAAGCAAGGCGCTTGTACAAGGGATACGGTGGCACTCCTTCCAAAGAATCTGCAAAATATTTATATATATAAAAAAATTGTAATGAATTTTGATCATTTGACTTTATGAGTTTGTTGGCTGGTTTGAAGATACCCAGATAAAGAACAAGCTTTTAAACCTAGAAACACACACACGAGAAGTGGTTTTTTGGAAGAGAATTTGAAAATTACAAACCTTTTGATTGTGATTGTGAGTGTGAAGATGATGGGTCGTCTTGGAGAAGGGTGGAGCAGAATTGGGAAGAAAGGTTGAGATGGTGAGAGTGAGAGTTGAGAGTGAACCTTACAAGTTCCTCTAAACAATCACTCAGCTTCACCGGACACGGACACACGTTACCATTATCATCGTCATCACTACCTTTGTTTTCCATTTTCCGTTCAGTTCTATGACTTCGTCCTGTTGTGATTATATGGAACTAAAAAAGATGTGGTGCTTTTTATAAAGCACTTTATAGTTTTTTTATAAAATATTAGTTTTTATTTCTATTATATGTTCTCTATCAAGAATTCTGAGAATATATTTTTTCACATTTCTTAAAGTTTTTAATTGCCATTTATTATTTTTATTAATATTAATAATTTTTAACTTTTATCATAAGAATTTAACACAAATAAAGAGGATACATTTTATTTGTATATATTCAATAAAATCGATCAAGATAGTTATGTATATCGATATCCGTCATTAGGTTAAAAGTGTCTTGCATTACATTTACACAAGAGCCTCTTTTGTCTTTGCCTTTATTTATGCATTGACAGCATTGTCTTGTATCTTGTATGTATTGCCTGTTGGCTTTGAGGCAATCACTTTCGGGCTCATGATAAACACACCTCCACTCTCTTATAAGCACACCCCCTTTTAAAAAAAATATATATAAAATGTTTAAATTACCCTTAAAAAAAAAATTCCTAAATTTACACCCCTCCTTCCTCACACCTATATATAAAATGTCTAAATTACCCTTAAAAAAAAAATTCCTAAATTTACACCCCTCCTTCCTCGCACCCCCTTCCTCGCACCCCCTTCCCCGCAAGCAGAACGGGCCGTACTGCAAGCAGAACGGCCCGTACTGCTTGCAATACGGCCCGTTCTGTTTTCAGTGCTGGCCGTTCTGCAGCAAAACGGGCCGTACTGTTTTCAGTACGCCCCGTTCTGCAAGCAGTACGTCACGTTCTTCAATCAGTACGGCCCGTTCTGCAAGCAGTACAGGCCGTTCTGCTTGCAGCAAGGGCCGTTCTGGGGCCGTTCTGTTGCAGTACAGGCCACCGCGTCACTTTTAAAATGGCTACCTTATGACTGATTTTAAAACCCCGATTTTAAAAGTTATTTTTGTACTAATCTTTCTTTTCATAGAACAAGTAAGAGTCTTTCTCATACAAAATCACTTGCCGACATTGCGCACCCCTCTTCTTTCTCTTTCTGGCACTCCTCTTCTTCTTCTTCTTACTGTTACGAAAAGTTCTTTCCGGAATTATATAAAAATGTTCCGGAAAATACTTTCCATAATATTAAATTCTTATTCCGGAAAGTATTTTCCGGAAATATTTTGTTATATAATTCCGGAAAGTATTTTCCATAATATTAAAGTTACTATTACGGAAAGTTCTTTCCGGAATTATATGAACAATAATTTCTATTCCGAAAAGTACTTTCCGGAATGTTAATGACTGTAAAAGTACTTTTCGAAATGCTATGACTGTAAAAGAACCTTTCTTATGCTGATTATGGTGGGACTAGTCCTTTTTTTCTATTTAGAATGACTGTAAAAGTATATTGCTTAATAACATTGAGCGGAAAGAGGCTTTGGGAAGAAGAGGGGTGTGAAATGTGGGGTGCGGGGAAGGAGGGTGGGGGAAGGGAGGTGTAAATTTAAGAATTTCATTTTTTTTAAACGGTAATTTAGACATTATATATATATATTTTTTTAAAAAGGGGGTGTGTTTATATGAGAGTGGAGGTGTGTTTATCACCGGCCTTACTTTCGGCCACCATTAAATTCGCGGCCCATATGTCAGAAATTACTTGCTGGCCCTGATTTTGTTTGGCCCATACTGATAATATGGTTCAAGTTACGACTTACGAGTGCAAGTGTACACGGGGAATTCACATATTCCAATCTTTCTGAACGATCTCAATTAGTTCAAATGATTTTTTTTTCCGGTGAGATCCAATTCAATTTGATTAAAATCTGACATTGCATTAGCCGATAATAAATTTTGCATTTTTTTTATTCATGACTCAAATTAATTTGATCAAATAATAATAATAATAATATGTTAATATGATGAGTTATTCAGAATAATGTTCCATATATTTTTTTTCAATAATGAATATTGTGTTTTTAAGTTGATAAAAGTATAATAATATAATATATTTATTTTAAATTTTATTTTATATTAATATTAGTTGTTTATAACAAATAAAAAAATATTTTAAAATTTAGTTTGTATCATTATTTATTTCATCGCATTTATAATAAGATATTAAATGATTTATATCTATTATAATATATTTAAATTTTTATTTAAAAATAAATTTAATTATATTATCTTAATCAAATCTAATCAATCCATGATCGAGTTAAGTCGAGTTTTAAAAGAATGTAACAATTTGACCCAATCCAATAGTTGAATCTTGATTGAATTAAGATTTATTCAAATCCAACTCAACTTAACTAGCTTAAGTTCCTAATTTGAGTTGACCCATTGCATGATAAAAGAATGTAAAATTTTCTCTTAAAACTTTTTATTTTATTTTTATAAATAAATTAACAAGTGCAAAATTTAAGTAAGATTTAACTTAGATCTCTTGTAAATAAAAAAAATGATTAAAAAAAGTAACTAAAAATAATTAATAAATTTTTTTAATGTAAATTAATTATTAACAAATTCGATGAATTTTTTTTTACAATAATCTTCATTTTATAAAAATGTGTCATATGGTATTTTTTTATTTTTATCAATAAGAAACGGAAAAATATTTTTTTAAAAAGGACACGACCACATTTCACTAAATAAAATATTAAAAAAAGAAAAATTATATTTTAAGGAATCAAAATAAACATTATTATATTTACAGGAACTAAAAATTATATACATATAAAATAATAAATAAATAAATAACAACAACAACGACAACTTGTAATTGTAGATGAAATATTGATTCATTTGTTGTATGATGATTTTGGTACATCTGTATGGTCTTTGTTAGGGGTTGGTCCCCAAAGTGATTTTCTCAAAATCAACTGTTGTGTGAAAATTATATCACCAAAGGCAAATTCTAGACACCCTTGGTCAATCCTATGACTTGCGTATGTATTGACTATGTTCCTATGTACAAACTACAAATGTTGCACGTCCTATGAGGGATCATTGGAAGCAGCTTGCGCATTTGCCTTCCAATATCCGGTTCCTAAGTTCTTGTGGACTAACAATATTTGACTATTGACCAATTTGTTGCAGTCAAATCTCAATCTCTTTAGCTGGTCTTGCTTCCAAGGCTTTGTTTGGAGCAAAATGTGGGTCCACAGAACCATCTGAAAGATGATAACGTTGTTCGTGATGTGCTTTCATTGTCCATAGCACAACCAACAACAACATAATCACTGCAAGAAACAGCATTCCTATCCATACCATCCTAGCATATTTCTTCAAAGGCTTGCAGTGGTTGAGAAGTACTTGAGAGAATGCATCTTTCACCACTTGGCATTCTAACAAGTGTTCCATACTGGGATACACGTTCAACAGGTCCTGAATTGAACTTGTGTAAGCCTCAACTCTCACGTATTCCCTGCCGGGTAGATATCCATTGTCACATGTTCCATCAATGGCATCTGAACACGTGAAAGGCTTCAATACCTTCACAACATCAGGGAAATGATAGTGTTAGTAACTTAACCACTGGTTAGATAAACTTTTTCATAAACACTTCTAAAAGAAAAAAAAATGAAATAAGTTTCTTTAAGAGATAAAATTAACTTATACATAAGTTAATTTTTAAAACAATTATCATATTAACTTATCCAAAATATATTTTTTAACTTATGTATAAGCTAATTTTAGCTTATAAAAGAGTTTATTTCATTTTTCTATTTTAAAAAGTGTTTTTGGAAAAGTTTATTTAAAAGACCCTTAGTATATCTTGGTCTTGTAATTTACGTCAGAAATGGAATTCATCAAGATGTGGCATACCTTTGGAATATCTCCTATTCGGATGGTGTTAGCAGGGCAATTCTCTGGCTGGTATAAGTAGTTGGGTGGAGCTGAGAAGGGGTTGCAAACATGAACAAGATTAACATCAGATGTTGCCTGCAGGGTTGATATGTTTGCATTCACCTGGACAATGACCAAAACCAACACATTACTCTTGAGTCCTGTATCAGCTGGCTACATGGGCCATTGAACACCAATATTGTATAATACAGTGATTGGAATAGAAATTGGAATGTCATGCCATAATAATAATAAATTATAACATTTTATTATGTTTATGCTTCTATCTCTATTGATTGGTGTAGAGTCATAATGTAGAAGAGGGGGGAAGCTGATGTTTGAGAATATGCAAAACTTACCTTATTAACAAGATCGTAAATCCCAGCACTAACATCAGATAGAACTGATTTTGCCGAGAGCAATTCATCACAGGGGAGGATTGAGCTTAGGCTGTTGTTATAGGGATTTTCTTGAAAGTTGTTAAGAGCTGTGCATGCATCACTAGAAAATCTACAATAAAAAGGAACTCTTCACAATTAAACTCAAACTTCTACCTAACATATTTATCGTTGGAGAAAAATGTAAACTGATCAAACTATTTAGTTCAGATTTCAGAAAGGGCTTGGATTTACTTTTCTAAGAAGAAATAGACTCCAAAGAATATCCAGCATATCACTGTCATCAACCAGCACAATACAAGAAGCCTGTGGAAAAAGAAGAGTAAAACAATAAAATAATGTTAGAGTTGCCATATATCATATACATAGACAAATATATACTGCTGGTTGCTTCTATAGCTTCAAGCTAATCAATTTAGTTTGTTTACATGTATAGTGCCCGCGGTAACCTCAGTACTCCAGAAACTGTTCAAAGAAGATTTCAAAATTCTATGAGAATCATGCATCATGTGTAGAAAATCAAAACAGGATGTACAGATTTGAAATTCTCATGAATCTAAAGATAGAAGTCATTGATGTTAAGCATATAGAACACCAAAAAAATACCTGTCAAAGCTATTACAGCAACCAAGTTCAAGCTTATGATCACGGTGGTAATTACAAACCTGCAATTAAAAAGAATTCCTTATTGCCACAAATGCGTTATTCATTTTGCATTGCATCAGGAATAGGAGAGATAGGGGGAGTCTTACACTAGTTTCAAGCCCTTGTCAATAAGGCGCCTATTTTTCCTAGCTTGCTTTTCTATGTTTGCAGATGCATCATCAAGTCTCTCAGTTGTTGAGTCAAGAATTACAGAACCCTCAGAACTGACATTGGCTTCCATAAAGTTACTTTCCATGCCCTTTAACGCTCCTGTTGTGTTGTGTATCGTTTCTGATGCCTCATTCGCTGTCTGGATTATGATATTAACTGAAGTTTTCGCTTCAGAATGGAACCTTGCACTCCCAGCAAAAACTAGTCCACTTGTAGCTCTACAAAATCAAGAGCCATGCATACATGCATACATCACTTGAGGAAATGCCAGGAATTTATGGTACTAATATTACCCAGCTCATGCCTTTTTTTGTATTTATATCCACAGTTCAAGTTGTGGTTTTAGATAGCCACTACCTAGTGTGTAATAAATTTAAGCAAAAGACAATTCTATTTCCATTTGGAAGACTATTTTAATTATTGCCCAAAGTTTCAAAAATTGGTCAATGTCAAGGTTTTTGGAGTCTTAATTACAATTGCAGCAGTCGCATTTGTCCACAATTTTCTACATCATTAACAATCGCACTATGGTAACCACAATCTAAAACCTTAAAATAAGTCTTTCAACAATTGTTATAGACTGGTTTATATTCTAAACAAGGTTTGGAAGGAAAAGAAATAAAAGATGATCCTATTCAGAAATATCATTTTTATATAGGCTAGAGATAAGGATGAATACTTACATAGCAAAAGTGGTGAGCAATATAGCCAAAGGAATCAGTGTAAGATCAAAACTCTTGTAATTACAAGGAAAGACCTTCTTCATCCTTCTTCCTCTGTCATTTTTGCCATAAACGATGGTTATTATCAAAAGACTTCCATATACAATTCCACACAAAAGGCAGAACATCCCAATTGCATATCCATATACTCCAGTGAAGATCACCGACTACATAAATGTTAAAGACATGTTAACATCATCTTTGATATTAGAAACTACATTCATAAACGAAAAGGGAGAGAGATTTACACTCCAATAATGCTTGTTGGTGATGTTAAATCCTCCTCTGTATTTTTCGAAATTGTCTAGAGGATCCACTCTAATAGTATTATCCGGTTGTCTAATGGCTTCTGACACATTATCTGCATCAAGCATAGACATAATACTTCTCATTTTCAATGCCACAGCCATAGAAATAAAATAAAACAAGGGAAATCTATACCATCAATCAGTCACTTAACTAGGGTTTATACGAAATTGAAAATCATGTTGTGCAAGATAAACCATTCTTGTTCACTTTGGATCATCAAATACAAAATTGTAATCCACCCACCACTTGTTACGATTTGACCCGGAAATCCTAAAAGTTGATCCTCCAATACTTTCTTTACGTTTATGCCATAATAATAGACTATTTAAAATTACTAACCTTCTTTAATCTTTAATTCTTTATCTTTATTTGATGGACCTGCTATTAATTGTTCTTTAATGCGTGAAGGACAAGATAATTAATAAGTGGTATTAAACATTAATGAATATCATATCACATATGGCCTAATTTTCATTCGATTTTTCCTCCTCCATTTACGATTGTTTGATGCTATCCATTTTAGGTCTATTAGACGTGTACGTTAATTTAATGCTTGCTTACCCATTTGGGCATTTCATGACATTTGACATGGAACTGATTTTTCAATCATATGACTAATAGTTACGAGTTCATATATCCCACTTTAATTATGCAATCTCCTCAGATCAATATATACTTGAATTAATACCCTTATACCAATAGAAATGCATGGAAATTGTAAAAAATATATTGAGGTTGTTAATGTAGAGTCTATGAGGAAACCAAATCTTACCTGCCACAGAATCACCCGTTGAAAGTGCTTGTGCTGCAACTTCTGGGATAATCAAAACTATAATCACTAAAATAGATAATAAGCCGTTGGTACCGTTGGCTATGACCATCTTCAACCTGTTATGGTAAAACAACCAAAATATTCATATATTCTCCCTACCAATTCAACTCTATGTATAACAGTGTTGGTTTGAGTTTGCTCGTGCATATCTTAATCATGGAAACTTGCATAATCTAATTAACATGTATATGCATGTTACAAACATAGATGAAGCAATCTTAATCATGTGCCACTTGAAGGATTTTTTCGTGGTGTAATTGCTTAGAACTTTTTAAAGTTTGTATTTCACATAGAATGAGTTGAGTACAAGGAAAGAACATTTTCACTGTGGAAGTGCGTGTAGACCTTTCTAAATAACTTACTCGATAAACTGAAATGAATTAAAGATGATGAAAATTCTTCCCAAGACCCTGCAAGAAGTTTCACTGGAAAAAGCTTTTCAATGAACCAAAGGATACCCAAAATAATCCTTTTATTCTCAGAACGGCATATTGCTTATGAAAAGTGCCATATAATCTTCCTTCTCAATTCTCTCTAACCAAAACGGCTTCAGCTGAATCACCACATTTGCAACCCTCACAAGGGTGCAGAAAAGTGTTTATATACGCATGAAAACACCTAGAATATTCAAATTAGTCAAATGTCATTCTTAAAGTGCAAGAAGCCAAATCCAAGCTCAACCGAAACACTCAGATTTTGGTCTCTTTAACTAATTCTCAAGACACCAAAAAACAGAATAAAAAAGCATGGATATGGGTTTGTTTGTTGATTTAGCCACAGATTAATTGAATCATTTACCCCTTTATGAGTTCACACCACACGTCAACTTTTTCGCGTGCTAAAATATCTACGTCCACTCCTAGTCATCAATTAGTGAATAAAGAATAATGAACCATCGTGGTTCTTTCATTGGCGATAAAAGTAATTTCCTTAATTATAAATAAGCTTCAAAATGAAATGAATAAAGTAAAATAGCACTATGTGAATTTAGAAGGGTTAAAAAAACCGTGTCACAGACTATACTTATTAAAAGGGGTGTGAGTTTTAGAGTCAAAATTTTCGACCTAATCCACGTTTGACCTGAGAGACAACAACTCCAAACAATTCAAAATGTGTGATATGTATTTCAAAAGTACTATAGTTTGTCCAAAGTTGAAATGTCGAACCCAAACCTTCATTTATCTCTCTTTTTTCTTTTGCATGTAAAGTCAAAAGATGACAAAGCCACGAACGAATGACTTTCTAGTCAAGGTACCACCTTGATGGGGTTATTGGTATTTGTCTGAGAGGGGATATTTTATGAGGGTTATTTTATAGGGTTATTACATAAACATACTTCATAATGATGAGATATTGTCCGCTTCAGGTCTTAGTCCTCGCGGTTTTACTTTTGATCATCACCCAAAAGGCCTCTCAATCATTGAAGTATGTTTGTATTATATAAATTGTTATTTTTTTGTCATATTTTATCAATATGGAACTTGTTTGTATCCCCAACACATCTGCTGTAGTGTCTTCACACTGTAGTATGGGGCAATTATTGTCATTGCACACACGCTTCTTATGTTATTTTATAATAAAAATATTTGTACAACAAAATCTGATGATATCATTTTTTTATCCCTCTGTCACATTGTTTATTATATTTATTAATAATAAAAAAATGAAAAATAAAATAAAATAATAGTTTACAAATTATTGTATATCAATTTTGTATATATTTGCTTTACTCTAAAATTATCCATGCTAGTAAATGAAATTTAAGATCATAGTATATACATATATATACAGTATGATCCATGCTAGACAACAAAATTTAATGTAATATAATTTGTTAACTAACAACACTTTGAGGGAATAAAAATTAGCAAATAAATTCTTTGATTAAAAACTACTTGAGTTGTGTTGTAAATATTAAATATTATGTTTTTTTTTTATAATTCAAATAATTGAAAATAAATGAAGTACAAGGGGTACTCCAACCCATTACAAAATACCACATGTGAACTGAAATAGGAACCTAAGCTAGATCATCACATCCAGCCCACAATATTGAAATAAAAATTGCAGAATCAGATTTCTCTAATAGACTCGTTTACCACTTGAATACATTTACCTAGATGAGGCAAGCTGCTGGATTCATGAACCAAGAAGTAAAATTATACCTAAAATCTTTATGCCTTGTCCTTAACCAGTTCCAATAAAAGTTTTTATTTATTAACAAATTATTAATCATGAGTTATTATTAAGGTCACACTTATGATTGAGTTGTCATTATTATTATATATTAAAAAAAATCATAAACATACACAATTACATTTTGTGTTTATTCTCATTTTTTCTCTCTGTCTCTCTTTATGTTTTATTATATTACTTATCAAATTTGTCATTTTTTTTTTCTATTTTTCTCTTTTTTTTTTCTATATCTCTCTTTTACTCATCCCAGAATGGAGTATATGTTTACCACTACTCATTAAAAAGAAAATATTATGGAAATTAAGTAAAGTTAAAAGAGTTAATATCTGTAACATGATAAATAAGATTTGAAATCTTGTTAAAAGAAGTGTATCATTAAAAGAAAGATGTTTTAGAGAGATTATTGAATGAAGTGAAAGTAGTTAAAATTTATTTATATTAAAAAAACATTTTTTTAATAATATAGAGAATATGTGAGGGAAAAATAAAAAGGGTATGTAATATAGGAAACTATGGAGCTTTGTGTATGGGGATGTGGGAAGAAAAGTAATGAGAAAGGTCCCACGATGAAAGGAATGGATTTGGCCATTTGGGTGAGAAAAGAAAACACTGCAACACCTTGTTTATAAGAATATATGTAACAGGGGTTGCTTATAAGTAATCTCTTATGTTACATCACTGTCACATTAATTCTAGCCCACTTTATGAGTTGCTTAAATTTTAGCAAAATTGTTTTTACTTAGAGCATCTGCAATAGGAGTTGCATATAAGCAACCTCTGTGTTACATTACTGTCATATCAGTTCTGGCCCACTTTACTAAAATTTAAGCAACCCATAAAGTGAGCCAAAGCTAATATAACTGTGATGTAACACAAGAATTGCTTATATGCCCCTTATTAAAAATGCTGTAAGAGCATCTCTAAGGCTCACTGAATTGGACCTATCAGCAAATAACAATTAAAAAAGAAGTATGGCACGTGCTGACGTGGCCTGTACATTTGATTGGTAACTCGACCGTATCTACTCTAGCATCCAAAATGGACAACCTCAAATCATCTTTTGTTTATTTATTTATCAGCATGCAAATTGGAATTGTGGAGGCTGCGTTTGCTTTGGACTTTGGACCCTTGTCCTGTTTTTTCTTTCTTTTATATTTTAATTTCAACTCTATCAACGGGAACGATGGCTTGTGCAACTATATATAAAAGTTATTTTTTAAACAAAGAATCTATCAAAGTGATTTCCAGCGGCTTCTGCTTTATATCCACATCTCCATGTTGATGCATTTCGAGTACCATGCTTAAACACTAAGAAACGTGCTAGTAGGATAACTTTTATTCCCTATAATGTCACACTTATTATGATATGTTTAGTTGAGTGGAAAAAAAATTAGTGGTATTTTCTTTTGTCTGGTTTGAGAAAAAAATTGAAGAAAAAGAGTGCAAGATTTTCTTTTGTAAACAAGATTTCCATAAGTGATACTATTTAAATGTTTCTCCATTAGAATTTTTGAAAATAAGATTAAAATATTGTATTATATTAAAAATATCAATTATAAATGTTGTGACATTTTTTAAACATTCATCACATGTGCATGTATTTTAATTATTTTAGAATTTAAATTGAGAATATTTTTTGTAAAAATATGGCCAAAAATATTAAAAATAAGCTTATCCATTTGATTTATATATTTAATGAAAAATTAAAGTGATATTTTTATGTGAGGAATATTTATTTTAATATAAATAAAAAAATATTATTAAATTACCTATTTAATCATTTCAATATGAACTTATTATTATACAAATGAATGAATTTATTACCAATAATTTATTGTTGAAGCAAAATACAGTCCTAAATAAATTTTAGAAAAATAATTTTTCACCTCTTTTGAAGTTTATATATTTTGAGAGAAAAGAAAAAAGATACAGAGAGGGGAAATATATATATATATATATATATATATATAAAAGAAAATAAGAAGATAAAATAATTAAATATTCTCATAAGTTGAAATCAACTTATATTTTTAAGTTTTATAAATAAAAATAAAATAAATAAATAAACTGTTGTTTAACTTTTTCAAAAATTGGTTTAATTTTTGTATAAGTTAATTTCTAACTTATGTGAAATGTTGACTGAGCTTTTTATCCAAATAGAAACTAGGTGAAAAGAAAGAAAGGAATAAAATCAAACAAGTATTTTGGAAAAAGATAAAATAACATACCAAAAGAATAATAACTTTGAAAAATAATTCAATATATATTAATTGTACAATTGAAAACTCGGTTATTAGTGAATTATAAAGTTAAAATCCACATAAATAAAATTCTGAATTAACATAACAAAATTATTGGAAAACTCCTTTTACATATAATATAATTTTAGCTGAAAAATACGTAGAACCGCTAACTACATTGCATTTAGAAGCACATTCTGTTATTGTTTCTAAAAAACTACAATCTCATTCTCATGAAACCGCTCCACAGGGTACGCAACATTTAATATAAACATGTCCCAACTTGAAGGATCAAATTCAAATCTTTGGTCTGTTGAACTTGAACCAAACCATACCACTTGGTCAATTCCACGTGTAGGCCTATGGTTAACTAAGACAAATTTTCGGAAGTGCACTTCAGTTTTTATGAGTTTTTTATACATGCCGACTTTCGATTACTTTTATCTTTAATCTTACCTAAAGCAAAAGGCAAAATGGAATTATTTGAACACTTGTATCGTCTAATTGGGTTAGGGCTACTTTACCTCAAGTTGCTTCCGGTGTTGGAACAAGTCTACAAGACGCCTAACTTAGTTCTATATTAGGTACAATTTCCTACTCTCAAATTGAAAGATTGAAAAATAAAAATGTGAATATCTTAAAAGTTCATTAAAATTTAATCATTGAAGCAAAAAAATAAAATAAAAAAATAGTGAGTTACTTACCTCAGAACAGAGTGTAAATTATTGTGAAAACATAAAGAATATAAGACTAGTTAAAGTGCAATGAGATACTCTCTTAAGATATAAGCATTAAAGATGCTCTTATAACAAGACCAAAAATGCAACTAAAAATCAAGTGTAAGATTAGAAATTGTCAACATCAAGCACAAAAGCAATTGGGCTAGAAGAGCCAATAAACAAGCAAATATACAAAACTTTAAATATGAGACTGATCCGCTTGCTAGAACTAAAAGCATATAATTAGACAAGACTGGGGTGAAAGAATAAAGGATTCACCACAACCACGAGCATATTGGCACCATAATGGGGGTACAAAAAGTATCATGTTTCACTCACCACCACCAACATTCTCAGATTACCACACAATACTGACAACACACATTTGACTGCAGTATTCAACTTCCAGCCATGTGCACATACTACCTTTTTTATTATTATAAGCAAAAGCTTAAATGAGTTAAATCCTATAAACAAGTCAAATTATCCATCAATGAAAACAAGTATCGGATAAGTGAAAAGCTACCTCAGTAAGAATATTTAACATTTAATTATACAATAGCACTCCCAATATAACTTGTAATACAAACCTTTAAAAACTTTCTACTTGTTAATATCTTAACCAATACTCATAAGATCCTGACTAACAAGACTAACGAAATATCCATAATAAAATGTACCAAGGAAAATAACAAACGATGAATAAAATGATACCACAACTTATTGATCTAATTGCCTAAATTTAACTGAATTAATACCAAGAATACTAAATAATTCCTATAGTACAACTAAGTTAGGCCAATAAGAGAACATGAGCAGGAAAACCAACATTAGAAAAATAAAATAAAATGAAATTATTGAAACTAATTCAACTTGATGATTATCAACAATTATTCGTTCTTTCTTCTTTTTTTTTTTTCCAAAAGTAAATCTCGGGTCAACTTGATTGGCATTTGGCAGTTATTGTCCTGATCAGAGGTGGAATATGATGAGTCCAAGTGCAGGCAGAAAGATGCAAGAGGAAAGCCTGGCTAAGTATGAATGATTATCATGATTGAGGTGGGAGAGTTCTTGGAAGTATGGAATTGGCTAGCTCATCATTCACCTTCACAGGAAGTGGTGGCATTTGCTTCATCACCTCTGGCGAGTCATTCAAGCTGCCAAGAAAATAAAGAGGAAAAAATAAAGAATAAAGCCTTTAATATCAGATCAAATTGGGATTAAAACAACAAATAAAAATCAGAGACATATATAAATCTTTATTTCCTTTTATTAAAAAACGCCAATTTAGGATTCCAACTCCTTTATACTCAAATAGGAAAGGACTAGCGCATTCATACACCGCAATATAAAAAGAGAAATAAATAAATCAAACTAATATATTACTTCCTTACAAATAGAGTAAATATAGAAAAGAACAGCAGACAGAAGAACTCACTCATTCATAATTTTAAGGATGTTGTCTCTAGTTTGGCAGAAAAGATTGATATTCTCCTGTACCTGGAAACAAAAAAAAAAATAACAGGTCAGCTTCACAGCCACAAAAAATGGCCTAAGAATGGAAATGATACTGATAAACTATAACACTGCTTATGGACAAAACAAAAAAAGACTAAAACACCACTCTCAGAAAACCAAGCAGACATTGTGAACTATCCCAGTTGTAATCAGATCCACAATTTCAGTGTTCCACTACCTCCTAGGATACGTGATGTCAAGTTGTTGATTAAATTAGCACAAGATATGAAACAACAAAAGCATAAAGGAAAATTTTCAGTAAGTACATATAAACACAAACATGCTCAGAGTACAGTTACCTGCATTTATGTAAACGGTCCTAAAATGAGCATAGAAATGTTAATCTCACTCTGCCAATATATGGAAATGACACTTGATTTTGCATTGGTATTTTAATTTAGTTCTGGGTCTATAAATATTGCTTGGTTATTGATTCATGTGGACATAAACACTACAAGAAAATATTAATTGATAATTATAAATTAGAAAAATAACTCGAGCATATACTTGTTTACATCTACTTTTCATTTGCTATGTTGCTTTCAGATAAGTTATAATTGAAGAAACCCCACTCTGGACAGTCCTAGTATTATAACCTGAGCACTGGTTTCACGCATCACTAGTCAAACCCAAAACCTCAAATGTGACTTCTAAAGCATCTAACAACATCCTACATCTGAGAACTCTACACAAAGATAAGAAAACATAAAACTGAACTGAAGGACAGTGGTCTCAACTTAAATATTACTTAATTTAGTCGTGTCAATAATAAGCATACATATTGTTAATAAACCAAAATGAACTCATTATAACAGAAGGATGTAGGGAGAAAATAGGACAAAAGAAAACTAGGAAAAAAATAAATTGCCTAACACTGAGAGCCACACAGTTAATTGTATAAGAAGTTTAAAATTGTTATCAATTCACCTGGAAAGCAGAAAGATTTGTGGAGATTTGGTTCAAGGCCTGTGCATTTTGCTCTAATAGCTCACCGGTGGGGCCTCCAATTGCTGCAAGAAAAATTTAAATTTAAAAGCAGAAGCTTGAACATTAAAAAAATAAATGCAATGTTTCAAAGGTGAAAAAAGTGCCTATGAGACATTGAGATAAAGAAGCCTGCATTGTCATATTTGAAAACCACGGCATCCCAAGGTATAAACAATTTACTAAGGATGGAACTGAAGTTACTAAACCTGTATAAGAGATACCGTCATCATTGTCCATCGTAATCATTGGTGGAGCATATGGGGAGACATTAGACCGAGCAGCAAAGTTAGATGACTTTACTGCAGGATCTGAAACCCTTTCCTGTAAACAAGAAAAGACTTGCTAAGCATCTAAAGTCACATTGAACATGAATGGAAACATAACGAAAGAACCTAGAATTTCCAGTATTTCAAAAATGTGCTAAAACTCCATTAGCTTTCTTCCTTTTTGCTACCTTCCTTTTGTTTCATTTTCCTAGTGTTTCTTACAGCCAAAAATGCTAAACCACCCCCTATTTAAAAAGTCAAAAGAAATGAGGGAACAAAACACCATGCTAGCTTCCTCCTGGTTAGAAAATGTAACATACACAATACTCTGTCTATTCCAAAACTAAAACAACAATAATAACCATCATCATGCAATTTTCAGAAAAATCATTACATGTCTAAAAGGAATACACTGTAAACAAAACACCAAATCCACATGAAACATTCAGACTAACATTTTATCCTTGAAAATGAATCTTCTAGAAGTCCAGTAACAGAAGGAAATTCCAGAATAACCTAATGCTGAAATGCTTGTGGACATTCAGAGTTGGAAAATAGGGGATAATATTTTAATGTCCAAGGGACGCTTAAGTGCATCCAGCATCAATTTATAGAAGCTAAAAGTTTGTGAAAAGATGTAGCATATGTTATTTTGTTGTGATGACAAGCAACAAAGCTTCTCTCTTTAGCATTTTGGCAAAAATGAACTTCTAGATAAGTTTAGAAGCTTTTGCAAATTTCAAAATCCTGATAATAGTCTCACCACACAAATAATAATAATAAATAAATAAATAAAATAAAGACAGACCATTGAATACCAAATCATAATTTTTAGTAAGTGATATTTTGTAGTGTATGGTGGAAAAATAATATAGCCAGGAGCTAACCCAGCAATAACCAATGATATGTAATGATGTGTATATAATTGCATATGAATTTCAAAAGCAGATGTCATCATTTGCTTTTAGAAAGATAATAAAATTATAAAGTAAGAAGTAAATCAAAGGCTAGATGGTCTCAGCCCTCAGGAGAAGAGATCATTTGTTTGATGTATCATATGGACACAAATGAAAGGGATTCTCTACAGTCATATAAGCAATCTATGGAAACAAATGTCCAGACTCCAGAGGTCAGGGTCCCAGCATGAGCAAGCAAGACAAATGGAGTATTCAACATATATACACCCGCATAGAAAGATTTAGACAACCAACATCCACAGCTTAGAGAAAGACATTTTAAAACCATCTCCAAAGGCATGCATAAGAGTGGAAAACAAAACAATCACAAAATTAATACAATATTTATAAGAGTATCCAATAAATGGGAGCAGTACCTTTTTATCTTTACTTTTTCGAGTCAAATTATGTTCATCCTTCCTTCTCTTGCTATTCTCTTTCTTCTGCAAAAAAATTTTTTTTTAAAATGTCATTATAATAAGAGATCACAGATAATAAGTTGAAAGCAATCCCAAAAATAACAGTAAGCTTCTCTGTTTCTTTTTTGTTTTATTAAAGATGGGGAGTGATTAGTCTTTAAGGAATTCTTAAAAAAGTGTTTTATACCATTCTAATGGAGGAACCAGTCATCAATTACCCTTTTCTTCCATGAAGCAATACATTATTAGTCTTAAAGAACTTCGTCAAGTATCTCAGGTAGTACAATAAACCTTATTAAGAATCTTTAATCTAAGCTGAAGAACAGGTTATAACAAATCCAAAAGGGAGAGAGTACAATTGGCTTACAGAATGACATAAAGAACTTAAGACAGCAAATAAAAAGTATGTAACTTACATTCATCCACCTGACTCGCAGTGCTACATCACGAACTGTTTTTTGCTGTAACAGTAGGGCTATCTTTGCATAGCGTACTATGTTGGATTCCGCGGCATACCTAAAAAAGAGAATTTTGGAATCTTGGTCAATTTAATGACTACCAAGACTTTATAAATACACATTGCTAATCAAAAGACGGATGTCAAACAGTATGACAACAAAAATGAATTTACCACGCAATCTAGGTACAGAAAGCAAATCAAGCTTGATATTTAAGCAATTAATTAAATACCACTACTGATAATGATATTTATTTAAAAAGATCAGTTGTCATTGCTGCATTGAATTCAAACTGCCATTGCAACCAGAACAAGACAAGGACCAACCAATAACTCATACATATAATTCAGTTTTGGAACTCCCTAGTTTCTGGTACACCTTTGTGTAAACAGAAGTAAGCAGGCATGTACAAGATGACCACAAAAAAAGACAATAACAACACGTTTTGATTTGAATAAGGATCTGAACACCCAAATGGCCAAATTCCAAACTGATTTTGGAATTTAGGACACACTGCAAATCAGACTGATAATTTAGCTTAAAAGTGTTATCCATGTGTCCAATTGATATAATCTAGGTTGGAAGTGAGTCCACATAATTCATGAGATGAGACCACTTGCACTTTGGCTCATTAAAAACAAGCTTGAGCTTTTCAGTTCACATTAAACTCGTTAGCTAGCCGGCTCAATATACATATTTTTTACTATAATCCATAATAATATAAATAGTACTAATTACAATAAAATTAAAGTTCTATTTAGTATATTTTTTTAATTTGAATAAACATTAAAAAGGAAAGTTTTATCAATTGAAGTTACAAAGTGGAACATAATTGAGGTTAAAATACTTAATTGAAATCCAATTATTACTAAGGCTAGTTACTAGCTCACTAAACTAGCTTCAAAAAAGGAAAATGAGTTGAAATTGTTATTGAACTTGAGCTAGCCTAGAAAACATAAAACTCAGCCATCAAAACCCACTTCCAATCACATAAACCACAAAGATAAGATTTGGCAACTGCATCTGAAGAAGACCCAACCTGAGACGAAAAACACCCCCAAACTCCACAAAAAAACACTCAAATCAAACACAAACCAAAGCAAGAAAAAACTCACTTGGAGAGTCCATCTTCGAGAATGGCTTGTTCTTCAGCGGTCCAATCGAGGGATATGCCAGGGTTGTGCTTCATGGCGAGAGCAGCACCGGAAGTTTCGGGAGCAGAAGACGAAACGTGCGTGTGCTCTTGATGGTTCCCAGAAGGGTTCGCCATCGAGACCCCTTTTTCGCGAAACGCCTCAAGTTTCGAACTTTACACCAAAGGGGTATCGGAATTCACGGTTGCTTCCCGCCAATTACCCCAACACCGTGAACATAATTGAAAAGGGGAAAAAAAACAAAAAAAAAAAACCCAAAATCAAAATCGAAAAGAGAGAGAAGGATGTGAAAGCGATAGTCGTAAGAGTGAAGGAAGGTGTAATGGAAGAGAGAGATGAGAGAGGGGTTTTGATTGAAGTGGGAATTGAAACTGCAGAGACTATTAAATTTTTTTTGGAAAACAAAAAAAAAAGAAAAAAAAAAGTTGCCTTTTAAAGAATTAAGATTTTCTGCAACTCCTTACCCACTGGGCCACTATACATGGAATTTGTACGGGACGAACTTCTTAGTTCTTATGCTACGCATCAAATGACGCTTTTGCCCTCAGATTTTCCTTTCTCCACTTTTTTTTTTTTTTCCGCCTCTTCTTTCTATCATGTCACAAAATCTTTCTCATAATCATTTAAATGAGTTTAACATGCATTTATTCCCGCACTCACACTATCAATTAATAATTAAACTAATTTTTTCTCCTATAATAAATAAGTGATGTTCACACTTGAAAATAATGTATTTATTAAGAAGGTAAAATTATTTTAGTAAAATTATTATATTAAAAAAATAATACATTTATTACTATTATAATTAATTTGTTATACAGATTTTAAATTACAGTTATTATATAATAGATGGAGTAGTGCATTATTTTAAAACATTATTTATTAATAGTTAAAATTTATCGAACATTAAAAAAAAATAAGAGTAAGACACGTTACATTAAATATAAAGTATAATTTACAAAATTATGTGATTTTAAATAAATTTTAATCATAATTTTATTAATTATTGATCAAAATATGTTGATAATAATTTTTTTATCTATGATATATAATATATATTCAATAACTACTAATAAAGGTAATAAAAAAAATTGTACACATTTTAGTTCTAATTTTAATTCTTAAATAACTTTTACTCTACTATTTTCTATTGTTAAAACATTTTTAAAATGAGACACAAAAAAAATTACAAGTAATAAATAAAAGGAATACCATTTTAAAATTTTCACAATCCTTAATAATTACAACTCTCTTTTATTTATACCTATATATAATATTTTCATGTAGATATTTTTTTAGTCTATTTTACTCTTAAATTTAAATAATAAAAAATTTATTAAAAATTAACTATTAATTATTTTTACAAATTCAAAATTTGAACCTAAAATCTTAAAATTTTAAAATTAAATATAAAACCAATTAATTTAACGATAATAAATATATTAAGATGAACTCATTCTCTTATTTTTTATATTTCAATTTTATTTAAATAATATAAAAACATAAAGCGTGTCTATCCACCATTGTTTATAACAATTTTTATTTGATAACAATATAAAAAAAATACATTATTAGTATATGTAATATTTATTATTGTTAAATTTATTTTGAATTAAAATTTGGACATCATAGCACTTTTTTTCGAATAAATCTTCATTTAAGTTCACAGTACGAGAGTTTGGTTATTTTAGTAATAAATTTTGCAAGTATTGGCTTTAATTGTTGGCTTTATAAAATATTGTCTAATATTTTTTTTATCAATTTTCATGTATTTTAGTTTTTAATAATATTTGTAAAAATATAATAAAATTTAAAATAAATAATATTTAACTTAAATTCATTTTTAATGTTTTAAATATAAAATATATTTCTATTTTCTTTCTCAAATTTATATGTAACTTTTTTAATCTTATAATATAAAAAGATTATTTCAATTCACTATTTAAATGTCATTAATAAACCGTCGAACAGAACTTAATTATTATTAAATTTATCATACAAAATTCACTTTATAATATATTTATTAGAAATTCAAAAGAACGAAGAGAATTTGTTTTCTCAGCAATTATTAAAAAATATATAATAAAGTTTTTCATTGGTTTGGTAAACAGTACTTTTCATAATTTAATAAAAATAATTGTCATAAAATTATTAAATAAATAAATAAATTATACTTTTAAATCCTTTATAATATCAAATCTAACATTTTAGTCCTTTATTTTTTAATTTTTAATTTTAATTTTTTTATTTTATAAAATCTGTAATTTTAATTATTTTATTAAATATTTATTTATTAATTTTTAAATTATAATGTTCATTGTGGTTTAACACTATATAGATGATATAATAATTAATATTTAAATTAAAATATACTTTCAGTTTTCATTTCACCACTTTTATTAAATAAAAATAATAAATAAAAAAAATTATCTTAAATATTATTAAATATCAATTGTTATAACATATATTTAATGTAAAATTATGATCAATGTTATAATTTAAATTTTAACTGATGAATATTTAATTAGTAGCTTAAAATTATGAAATTTATAAAATTAAGAAACCAAAATTATTGATCTATAAATAGAAAGACTAAAATATCAAATCTCATTTAAATTCTCTTAACTTTAAACATTAACCTCAAGTATTTTAGGAAAAAACAAAGTAAGTATCCTCTTCAAAAATTTCCATAGTTGATGTTGATAGTGCCCATACCTCCCAATAAATCGATCAGGAAATCTCCATTATGGTTGCACACCACACCACGAAACCTGAAAGATTTCCATTCTCTGTGCTCCCATCTACCTATGCTTCTAATTATAATTTTAATGTAATTTTTAAATTAATTATTACAATCTTAATAATCTTACTATTATACACAATAATATTATATATATTATTGATGGTTATCTAAAATTATTTTAATTAAATTCAGAAACTAAAACCATATACATTATTGTGTTTTTTAATATATGATGACTTATATTCTTCTATGTTGTTTATCTCACTGTGCATTAAAAAATGTGTTATCAATTAATGCAGACCCATAATATTAGTGACAGTGTCCATCATTATTAGCGGTGATTTCAGGCCCAGAAAATAGAAACACCTGTTTATGTATCTGACAAAAATAAAGTCAACCATTTCCAAACAAAAACATACGGGTCGGCCCTGGCCCAGATAAAAACCCGTGTAACCCCCACCAAATATCCATTTGGGTATACTTATTTTCCTTTATTAATAGTATACTCTTATTAATTTTTTTAAAACCATTGTTTAATTCTTTAATATTATCTAATTTTGGGATTTCACAAATCCTCAATTCCATAATGAAAAAAAAAAACATATTTTCATAAAGTAATTTTTAAGAGCGTATTTTTTATACTTCTAAAAAAAATCATATTAGTAAATTTAGTAAATTTAATATTTCAAAATACATGAAAAATCTTGTAGTTATTACATAGTCATTGTACACATCCCTCACCATGGTAAGGGCTGAGTATGATCTTTATAGCATCCGCTTTCATACTCACGTTAAAAAATAATACTTATATCAATACTTTAAATCTTAAACCTATGTACTTACATCTGCATCTGCAATTCACATTTTACTTATGTATAAAGTAATAAAGAGATAACATTTCATCCAAGTATTAATTTATTAGGTCTTTGACATTACAAAAATATAACATAGCAATTCATATAAATAAAAATTACAAATCATTTAATTATTGTAAATAAACTTAAAAAAAAATCAACATAACAAAAGTTATAATTATAAATTTCCAACATGATGATCATATGTTGACAATATTTTTCAAAATATGTGAAAAAAAACAGAAATTAGTTAAATTAAAATCATAGATTAAATTATATACTATAAAATTCAAAAAATAAATATGTAAACATTTGATCTTATCATCAAAATTAACTTTTCCATAGTTTTGCAAATGCTCGTCTTCCAAGTTTATATATTGTTTTGGTCCAATAATACTAATAGAAATCACATGACAAGAAAATGAATGATTGAATAATTTTAATTAATAATTAAAACAAATAATAAAAAATATAACAATTTTTTATTAAATAAAAGTTTTCGTGAAGTTGAAAATTTTACTATTCTCTTAACTTTAATCTGATACTCTTCAAATAATGAGTAGCATAATATTTTGATATTATTAATTTTAATTAAAAATGAACTAGCACAAAATTTAGAAGAAAAAAAAACATTCTAATAACATCAACTTATATCTTAGATCTAAAATAATAACAATATTATTATACTAATTAATATATATAAATAAATAAGTTATCTTTAAATAATTATATCTATATATATATAATTGTGGGGTGGGATGGATTGACCCATACCCACTAAATCTTTCGAGCTTATTTTTCATCTCTTATTCGTCTAATATAAATGGGTATTTATCCATCTCACATGTAAATGTCTGAAAGATCCACATTCATTTTACCATTTTGTCAAATTGATGTATTAAGACCGTTCGTTAAAATATCTATAAATAAGAAAATTTTGACCATTTGTCTCTTTGTAATTATAAAAACACACTAAAATATCACTCACGCCGATTCAATAGCTCAATGTTATTGAAAAACTCTAAAATTTCTTCTATGTATGACCTTTTCTAATACTATCTACAACACTTTTTCTTGCCGATAATTCTTTTAAATATCCCCTTCTTTTATCTATAACCCTTTATTTTTTTTATAACATTTTTCTAATACATTATTATACTTCATCCTCACATTTCTTCTGGCGAGAACTCCCTCTATTGTCTATGACTCTTATTTCTTTTATTACATATTATATAATACATATTATAATTAAAAATAAATAAAATTATTTGTTTAAAATATCAAAATATTATAAGTTAAATCTATTTAAGTTTATAAATCTCAAGAAAAAAAATTGTATCATGATAAAATTAAAATATAATATTATTTTATATAATTTGTGAGTAAAATTAACGTTTGTGAGAATTGAAATATATGTATTTATTTATATTCATTGTTGTTTTATTGGAAAAAATGTAAAAATTAAAATCATTATTTTTTTAAAGTCATATATGTTAATATAAGTCTTTCGTATTTATTTGTTTCATAATATTTACTCGAATTGCATTTGCTAAATATTTTGTGCTTAATATATCTAATATTTTATATATTATCTTTAAACACAAAATCATTCTAAGTTAAAAATTTTGTTGCTGTTTCATTAAAAATAATATATCACTGCAACGTTGAATTTTTTAGTTCCACAGATTAAAATCTTATTTGGTATGATTTTGAGAGAAGTTACCCATTAAAAGATTCTCGAATTCTCTTTCGATTTTTCATACAAATTTTCACCACCAAAAAAACGTAGATATGCCAAACAAATAATAATGACAAAATAACATGCGCCCAATGTCTTTATTTTATATCTTCTGAATCCTCTTATACATTTGATCAAACAAAAATAACATAACATAAAATAAACTGAATGGAAAAAAAAAATGTAAAGATGAATGGTTAATAATTAGCTTATAACTAATTAACTTGATATCCACTTGAGCATATTTGTTACTTCAACTCTTGCATTGTCAATGGCAAGTTGGTGACCACGCTTTAATACTACTCATCATCGTCATAACACCATGCTTAGAGCACATTCACAAGAAAAAGAAAATTCCGTGCATGCTCACCTCAACTTTAATTTATGCAATGGAAATGTCATAGATTGCTTTAATCAAGTTTCACATATATTAAAGCATCTTTAATGAAGCTTGCTTTCGCCTGTTAAATGCAATTTAAGCTCGTTTTCTAATTTCTAGGTCCCCGAATTAATGTGAAAATCATAACACCTTTTCTTTCCCTGCCGGCAAAAATCAGCTTTAACTTTGCTTATACGAGGATTAATATAGGCCTAATTCACAAGTGATGAACGTGATTTTCCCCGTCATGCTTATATTAATACTTGCACAATCTACAAGCCAATTAAGAGAACAAGAAAGAAAGAGTGCTACACTCTGTGATCCAACTGGAAGCGTTTTCCATATTAAACAGTCAAATGCTTTCAAATTAAGTTGCGTTAAGGCAAACATCGCAAAGTTAAAGTATACGTTTACAGATTGAATAAATGATATCATTAAATAATTAAGCTACGTTTACCACCTCTTTGATCCCATTTAATTAGAAATCCTGGATTTTTTTTCCTTTGGGGATAGTACCCGTATCTGAATGATTAATGGCCAGAGTTTAGTTCCAATGTCTTAAAACCTGGATTTGAACCTGACACAACTCTACAAAATCAATTTAAAATATGAGCATTATTCTCTATTTATATATACTAATATAATCATCTTATTAGGTACAATGTGCAATCTCTTTAATATATATTTTTCACGTCTAAGACTAGATATCTAGAGTGTAAAATTTGTAAGATTAGATATTTGTGGATGATTCGACAATAATCCGATAACAAATAACTTGATAAGTTCAATAACATTCGTTAGGATATACTTTGATTTATAATCTTAAATTCAAATTTTATTATCATTATTGTAATTTTTACGAATAAAAAAAAAATCTAAGATGAATTATTAGGTATAAATCATGATAGGAAGCAAAATAATAGTTATTCTATCACTATTCCTAATATTCTACAATTAAAAAGTTACTATGAAAATAAAACTCGAATTGATTTTTTTTATTGATATTATCAATGATTAGAGAGATGCAAATTTATAACCTAATATTTTTTTAGACTTATATATAAGTAAAAAATGTTTAAATTTTTTGGATTGAAATATATAAACAAATTTCAACAAAGTGAATCTTATTAATGTTGTTATCATTTTATTTTGAGAAATTAAAATAAAATATCGTTAAAAGATAAATATAATATAATATATATTTTAACTCCATCTTATAAAATTTTTATTGGCTTAATTTTTATTTTTTTAATCTCTTTAAGTCCATTCTATCAACTTCCATTGATCATAATTATTGTGTTTGAATCAGATATAACCGAAGAACAAATTCTTAATTTAAATGATGAGTGTACGTAGTTGTATACTCAAGACTCAAATTTGAGCCGATAAAAGGATTGAATTGTTTTAGTGATCAGTGGGAATAGTATTGAGTGCATGTGCTGGTGGATTCAACGATAGAAAAGATAAGAATGAAGCGGATCCATGAATTGTTGCCTGCAATGAGACCGAGATGGCACATGCCGTACCACAGATTAATCAATGAGAGTGACAGTGGATAGTTCACATAGAAAAACTGAGAGCTTTTCTCGATTTGTAGGAAATATTGGATCAAGAAAAAGAAGCATATTTTTTGGTGGTTAGAGTAATAAACCCGAAATCCAAGTGGCGATCACATGGAAAGCACGTTCCTTACTACCCACGTCCGTCACAGCTTTAGAAGGATGTTGAAAAATCGATGGCGCATGTGAACTGCTCCATGTCTCACTCTTCCGTCACACGGTGCCGTAACTCTTGGATTAGAATAGATTTGAAAATCGAATTGGAAGCCCACTATTCTATGAAGGATATTATTATATTCGAGTGTGAGCTATATAAGCAGCGAGGGGAATACGTTATTGGCAGTAACAAGCTTAAGTAATTAAAAAATGGGGAGAAATATGTGTTTGGTTTTGGTACTAGTGGGTTTTGTTGTGGTGAGCATTATGTGTTGTGGGGTGGCAGATGCAGCGGTGAAACCTCCACTGAAATGGCATTACTATAAGGTGACGAATACATGCGACGACGCTGAGGAGTATGTTCGCCACCAAGTAAAGGTGTTTTGGGAGAATGACAGGAGCCTTACGGCCAAGCTCCTTCGCTTGGTTTATTCAGATTGTTTTGTCACTGTATGTTATGTTGTACTATATATATTGCATGCATTGCATGAATATGAATATATAATTTTGACGTAGGATGCATCATGCATGATCTTGTTGTTTTTGTGGGCCAGGGATGTGATGCGTCAATTCTGCTTGACGAAGGAGAAAATACGGAGAAAAAAGCGCCACAAAACCGAGGACTTGGAGGATTTGCAGCCATTGATAAGATAAAAAGTGTTCTTGAATCACGATGCCCAGGAGTAGTCTCGTGTGCGGATATACTTCACCTGGCCACAAGGGATACTGTTCATTTGGTACTCTCTCATTCTTGAAACCCATGATAATAATAATAAGATGTAAAAATAAAGAGTAAGGATGCATTTTGAGGATGTTAAGTGCAGGCAGGTGGACCATCTTACCCAGTATTCACAGGAAGAAAGGATGGGATGGAATCGAATGCTGCATCGGTAGACGTGCCCTCACCATCCGTCTCGCTACAACAAATTCTTCAATATTTCCAATCCAGGGGCTTGAATGAATTAGATGCAACAACACTACTAGGTAATGCAAATTCACTAGATAGTAGATACTATCACCTCACGCCTACTAACTAGAATGCATTAATACCACATCTTTTATTTAAATATTATTATAGTGTATAGCGTATAATCATAAATGTTGTTGACCACTAGGATTAGTCCAGTAATTGAATGGAGAGAACCTGAAGTAGTTAGAAGCATGAAAACCTAAGTTCAATCCTTATTGCGATCATCTTTGTAATCTTTCCTATCTTTAAAAAATAAATAAATAAATAAATGTATGATCAAGCATTGTTTCTATGTTAATATAAGGCACATGTTATGAAATTTATTTAATCAATATAAACTTTGATATTTTTTATTTTTCAATTTATTATTTATTTTTTATTGTAGATTATACACTTAATTTTATTATTAAGATTTTTTTAAAATTTGACCACATTTAAAATCATTAGTTTTAATTATTATTTATGAAATATATTTTAAAATAACTGATTTAAAAATAAATAAAATTGAGCATAATTATTGCAATATTTATATATCTAACTTTATCTAATGTCACCCCTCAAAAAAAAACTTTATCTAATGTCTTTGATTTTTAAAAAAATTATTAAGTCCTAATTATCAAAACTATATAATAAATATCAAACAATTTAATTATTCATTGAATTTAATTAGATACAATAAATAATTTTATTATAAAGTTCAAGTCTCCATCAACCACTCACATAAAACATTAGTTTAAGTCTACTTAATATATAGATAGATAGATAATGCTTCTAAGCTTGTTGGTCAAAATGAATGTGTTTTAGGAGCACACACAATGGGACGAGCACATTGTAGTTATATTGTTGATCGGCTGTACAACTACGGTGGTCCCGGTAAACCCGACCCAAGCATGGATGCTACTTTACTAGATACATTGAGAAAAGCTTGTCCGCCAAGAAAGAAGGGACAACCAGACCCTCTGGTATACCTAAACCCAGAATCTGGATCAAGTTACAACTTCACAGAATCATACTACAGAAGGATCCTATCTCACCAAGCTGTCCTGGGAATTGATCAACAATTACTATATGGTGATGACACTAAACAGATCACCGAGGAGTTCTCCGCTGGATTTGAAGATTTTCGGAGATCTTTTGCTGCATCAATGTACAAGATGGGGAATTTCAAGGTTTTAACAGGAAACCAAGGAGAGATACGCCGAAATTGCCGATACACAAACAAGGGCAACCCAAATTAGTGGGAGGCCAAATCAAATGTTTAGAGTGGATTCAAATATGCCCAGTTTAAACAGATTTGTTTTGTGTTCCGAAGGTAAAGAATAATACATGAATAATACCCTCTTTGTCCTTTTGTAACTTCTGAGTTCCAATCATTCAAGTCACTAAAAAATCTTCTTGTTGTAGTGTGTATAAAACATATGTCCTTCCTCTGAGTTCTGTCAATTAAAACCCCCACAAAAATTGACTACATGTTTCCATATCTTTCAACAATTCCCTACGATATATCCACCCTGTATTTCTACTTGTATGCATGTGCTTTTTCCGAAACCTAATCCTCCGGGGTAGTAATAATTTTTGTACGATTTTCTCCATAAATGAGCTGAATCAAAAGTTCAAAGAAAGAAATTGATTGCATAACTTGTGCCATGTATCCGAGACTGCAAATTGATCTAAACTGGGACCAACCAGTGTGATGAAAAATTCCCTTGTCAATCTTTTTCACTGGCTTCAAGAGGAAAGGAGAGAATACATCAATACAATATAAGCAATGGAAAGAAAATCAAATACTAAAAGGGAAACAACCTTTAAAATGATCTTCAGGCAATCAAATACATTCCTGACAGAATAGACACCTTACTTTTAGACAAGAAAAGCAAACAGGAAAATTAAAAAGAATATATGTTGCATGGAATCCCATTTGGTCGATTTTATAATCAATTGTAGCAATTTAAAAAAGAACAGTCTAAAATCAAATTTCTAGAGAAGATTCCAGTAATCAATTATTTGAAATCGCTCCTGATATATCAACAACACTGCTAATCAAATGAAGCTAATGAATTGTCAATCGATATATTGCACGGTGTTAACAAATTGCAAAGTGAAATTTTATTTACAAACTGAAGCACACAAGTGTGTGGGAAAAAAAATACCGTAATTCAATGAGACAGAAAAATAGACCAATACCTTACAAGGTATAAATAAGTAAATTAAGCCCTAGAATCCCTTAACAGGGATGTAGTTTTGCACAAATTTATTCATCTGGCAGAAACTACAAAAGCAAAAACAGCACCTTCCGCATTTAGTTTAGTTTCTGAGGGATGAGTTCCAAAGAAAGAAAAGCACCAACATATGCATACAGTCACACAAAAATAGAATAGGACCATGCTCCTATATTTGGTTCTCCACGTATTTCTTGTCTTCAATAACAAATGTGCCAATTAACTTCTTTATTCATTCCTTATAGTTATACCCAAAGCTTCCATTGCTACCCGAAAAAAAGCACTGTTTATGGTCATTAATAATCGTTGCATCAAATTTCCAAGAACTGAAAGAGGACTGAATTTTGAGTGCAACATACTACAAATATGCCTTGGTAAAGACCATCTAGGAATCCATATAGAAACCATGAAAAGTTAAGTGAACTAATAAAATGTAAAGCAGAACAAATTGATATTACCTCATAAAAAAGAGTAATGAAGACAATGGACATACAGCAGCTGGATGAACCTCCAAAAGAAAACCACTTTAAGCTGCAAGTCTCACATCCAAAGTGGATGAGTAATGACTAAAAAAATTTAACACCAAACTCCAATTTGGAAATGCAGAGCCATATAAGCAATACTCAGTGTCTCAAATCCCCTTTCTTTGAAACATAGTTCATTTTCTTGAATACCTGTCAAGAGATGATATTTCAATTTCACCAAAATATTAGAATTACATATAAAAGTTGCATATTTGGGGGGAAAATCACTCAAAATGGTGTTTCCAGTAAGTTATAAAGAACAGAAGAAAGCAACCCTAAATTTTATCATGCATGAATATAGAAACATCATAATAAATACATTTTTTAAGTATTGCTTAATCTATCTGTGTATTAAATAAAGCAAGAATCACAGTGCATCAAAATGAGATGAAATAGACTAACAAATGCCTCTTGTATTTCCACAATTCTTTTATAGTTAAAAGATTATCTTAGAATTTGGAGTTGAGTCTAACTTAAGCTCAAAAGCTAACTCATGAAGGGTCATCCCTACTTATATACATATTTTGACCATATCACTATGGAATCTCCAAGATGCAACCCCATGCCAAGGATTAGGCATTTTGAGCAAAAAGTTTGTAAGACTAGACACTTGAGGGTAGTTTGATAACAAGTGACCCAATAGGCCCAATAGCAACTGCAAAAGAAAGGCTTTGATGCCATCTTAAAATTTAGGCCTTGGCCTAACTCAACCCTAAAAGATAGTTCATGATATAAGGATTATTTCCATTTAAATACACTATTTTAATCATATTACTAGTCAATGTGGAATGTCCAACTCATTGAAACAAGAATTAAGCATTCACCAAAATAAAAAATGGCATAAAGTTTGCAAATGCAGTAATGCTTTCTTTTATGAGAAACATAGAGGAAAATAACTAATTTAGGGTTTACCTTGTTAAAATATTTCTTCCGGAGTTTGATTGCTGCTGTTATGCACCTTTTCACATTGATCTTTAACATCTTGTCATTGAACATCTATGATGTGTAAATTTGGTATAGAAAGTTAGAAAATGCACAATAATCCCTCAATTTGGTATATATGAATTGGATGAACTACCTGAAGGAGGAAAAACTAAGTTGAAAACAGATCTCATTTAGAAGGTATAGAAATTGTTTCAAGTAAATGATTCAGGAAAATCACTATACAGGGGCTTAAAATTGGGCACAATAAAAGAAGATAAACAAAACACCGCAAAATGATAAAAAATGAAAATAAAGAGAAAGACTTAAATAACTTTTTGATCCCTACAATATAAAGTTGTTTTTGTTTGACCCCTCTTGAAATTTTTCCCTGTTTTGATTACTATAAAAAAAATATATTTCATTTTAGTCCCTAATGTTATTGTTTCAGTCCCTGTAAAAGAAAATAAGGGTATGCACTATCAACTTCACATTTTCAAATCAAAACATAACCCAAACAAAGGCTCCCAACATTAGACATTATAAACATAATATATATATATGAGGAGAGATCCGTTTACTCCAGGAGTAAGTCTACCTAGACTTACTCCATTCAATAACTCATGTTCTACATTAAATTTTAACGATCCAACCATTGAATTTAAAATTCTTAATGCATAGATCAAATCTGCAAATTTTTTTAAAATTTATTGATCTACGTATTAAAAATGTTAAATTCAATGGTTGAATCATTAAAATTTGATGTAGAACATGAGTTATTGAACGAAGTAAGTCTAGGTAGACTTACTCGTGGAGTAAACGGATCCCTCTCTCTCTCTCTCTCTCTCTCTCTCTCTATATATATATATATATATATATATATTAATCATGACTTTCATAACAACAATTAAATGCTGAATAAAAAATAAACAAAAGATCAATGCACCTGCCTTTATCATATCATCAAAGGAGTGTGTTTCTTGAATGATCTTTTGACGGTTTGAAACTAGAATTGCAGCGACACAGAATATGGCCAACTCATTATTTCCTTTCCTTGATGAGGAAATACTACTCTTTTGAACTTGACCATTTCTTGGCCAGATATTCCTTGCCAAGCCACAAAAGGTATGGGATGAGAGAGACTTCGAATTGATGTCAAATACAGAGTGATCAGCTCTGTCATGATTTGACTTTGAGCTGGCTTTTGTGTTCTCTTTTTCATTATGATTTGATTGTGAACCATTCTTCACACTACCATCATCAGTATTTACAATTGCTTCTCTCATATCATTGGTTGAGTCTCTAGGAAGATGTAACTCCAATGCTTCCAGACAATCCTCTTCTAAATCATAAACCAAGGATTCATCAAAGTCAGCTGCCCACATCATCTGCATCACACAAGAATATTGTGATCCCGTATTGATGAACGAGAACAATAATGTATCAAAAGGACTCATTACAAAATGGAACAAGATATTGTCTATTTTAAATTACATGTATTGACACACACAAAGGACGTTTCAAACTCTCGGTTATTGTGATAAATGAGAACTATTAATTTGGATCATACATGAATAGACAAGCTTAAAAGATAATTATTGATCACACGATCACTTAAAAAAAAAGTCATTGCATTTATCTTTTAATTTTGACCATTCAAATATGATCTAATTATCTAAATTTATAGTTCTCATTTCTCACAATAACAAGAATTCTTATTCAATACCCTCCCTGTATATATAAGTGAGGGATCAACTTACACTATCAATAACTACAATAATCAATGTGATTTTTATTGACCCAATGTTGAATTGTAATTATATAGTATCTTAATTGTTTTTTTTTTCAAATTATCTCAAAATTGAAGGAATGTAGTTATGTAATCAAGGAATTTGTATTTTCATATATTTTAAAAGTGTACATCAATTTTGATACATACGAATAGGGTATTAAATAATTTTAGAATAATATGAATTTTTATAAATGATTTATAAAATAAGAACTTCTAATGCAACATTAGATTCATTAGATTGAGATAAGTTTATTCAATAAAAAAAGTATTGAATGATGTAATATTTTATGTAACTTAAAGCAGTATAATTTAGTCCTTTCCCTATATATATATATATATATATATATATATATACAAAAAACTGACCCATCATACTTATTGACGCTTAAAAAATCATAAATGTTTTCGAAGAAACCAAAATCTTAATCAAAATAACAATCACAAGTTATGTAAGGTGATTATTCACCTTCCAATTGACTTATTGAACAACAAAACTAGATATCCTTGCTTTTGAAGCAGTAGCAACCAAGCAGAAACAGACATCAAGAAAGTAGTTCCTCAACAATTAACTATTGAAAAGATTAACAATGGGTTTTTATGGGGGAGGGGGTTGGAAGAATAGAGCTCGAACCTCCCACATTGAAAGTGACTCATTAAAAGACAACTCTCGTCGAAAGAGAACTAGCAACATGCGAAATGCAAAATGAAGGCTTTCAGCACCAATTTTTGACAGGTGGGCAAACATTTCTTTTTCTAATAGTTCAAGAATATCCCATAATGCTTGCAACTGCTTCATCACTCTAGTCGGGCCTTCCATTTGAAAATTTTCCCTCTGAGATATTTAAAAGAAAACAAGTTAGTCAACATAAACAAAGTTACATTGTTGAAATTTAGCCAAATTTGTGAATACCATTCTCCTTAAAAGCATCTCAAAACACCAAAATGCATCTGCATTATCCTCAAAGATTACAACAAAGGGAGACAGCAAATCACTCATACCTAAGATCCAATATTCAGTGAAAAGGTAAGTTTTGGCAATTGAGGGTCAGTGTAATAGGAAAGACTCATAATAGAACACAATCATGAGCAAGAAGTCAAGAAATTCCCAGGAAAAAACATAACCTTGGCAATACCCCGTTGCAGGATCAACCCATGCATAGACAGCAAGAATATCTGACATTCTAGCCAAATTCCTTGTGTCCTCATAGAATTCAAGATGACTATCAGTTCTCACAACATCAACAACTGAAAAGGAATAATCTCATCAGCTAGAAAGAATATCAGAATAAAATATACACTGTCATCAAAAAGGAAAGATAATCTCTCTTTGTTAAACTAAGGGGGAAGAGGGAGACACACTATACAACTTAGGTACCTATCCTATGCAAGGTCCAAAGCCATTCTGATACTCTCTCTTCACTGACAGGCCAACCTTGAGAAATTGAGGATTTTATCATTGCTGGCTGTGGTACATCTGATATTTTTAGTTGATTTACCATCTGTGCTTCATAAACTTGATTCTTGGACAGATGTTCTGGTTCTTCCTTGTCAGGTGAAGCAATTCCAATTTCAGAGTCCATGGGATGTAGGGTACCAAGAGGTTGGCTATTTGATTTAATAACTAACTCTACATTGTTACTAATTCGAAAGCTATGCATATTGTCGTCTTCAAATCTTGATTTGTCTAGAGCACTAAGTTTATCCTCATACTCTCTGCCTGACTTTTTATCTTTACCACTCTTTTCAAATAGATTGGAGACAGGAGAAGGAGGAAAATCAAAACTACAGTCAGTCACACTATGGAATTCCTCTTCTTCTCTCCAGAACTTTGAGGAACTGGAGTTTCGATGACCAGAAGAATCATATGCTGCATTCTCAGTGCTTGCTCTCAAACTAACTAGGTCAAGCACATTATTGGAGCTTTCCCAATGGGTTGCATCAGCTCCCTCTGTACAAATAATGCTCCTATCATAACATTTTCCTACTTCAATATTATTATCATTATAAGCTGATCCCTCTATTTTATCTTGCAATGTCCGATCATCTTTGGACGGAGTCCTCATATCCATTACTTTGGATCCAACAACATATGCCAACGAACCAGTTCCTACACTTGAATGCATTGTTTGGCATTGCTTAATCAGGTCGCTATAATGCTCCCTGCAAGGAAAGTTCCTCATGGATGTCAATAAGTGATAATTATAATATTTTTTGACACCAATAATTATAATATTATATATTCAAGAATGTAAGAAAGGTGCTACACTAGCTGAAACAAATCATACGGCCATTGAATGCCAAATGCATTTTACAATAACACTGATTGTTGATACAATTACACCAATAGTTATCCATCATAGAAATATTGAATTTAAGAAAGTTCCAGGTCGTGACTTTCATGGCTAAAGATCATAGATTCAATATTCATCATCAGCAAAATGGGCACATATAAGATCCAGAAAACACGAAAGAGACAAAAAACAAAGAAAGTGGATGGACCCACACCTCCTAGCTGCTCTCAACCTTCTTCGATACTCGGCAGTGCTGCTCAGTGTATAACAACCTAGTAAAAACTCCCAAACTTCAGGTCTTATTGATGGATCTACACCCTAACAAACAAGGGGTTAAAAAGTGTAAATCGGAAAAGATTAAAAAAAAAATACTTAAAACCTGCATATAGATGCTTCTACAGTAAATATTTATACAATCATATAGATGGAAAAGGAAATTAAACTTACAAATTTAAGTTAACCATCAAGTAATCTATAACAAATATATTCAGAACGCAGAATGAAAGTAAAGTAGTGACCATAAACCAGATTGGTTAACCTAGGGCTAGAAGAAAACCTTGAAGCTTCTTCTGATGTGAATCATGTGATTGATAAAACAACAGAAGAAATTTTTTTTTCTTTTTATGAGGGAATAAAACAACAGAAGAAAATAAAACTTTTTTATCGAATAGATGCAAATTGACGTGCAAATTACCAATTTGGTATAAATCAGAGATTAATTCCCCAATATGGTGTAAAAGAAATAATGAGTACAACTCACTCATGGGCATGGCATATGATTTAGTGGTAATGTTTTTTTGCTAATATTTTTTATTGATGCTGTGCCACTAGGTCATGACTTAAAGATTTTTATTTTATTTTAATGAAATTGTGGAGTTAAGTCCCTGGGATATATTATATAGAAATGAGAAAAATAAATAAGTCATTCTAAATTATGTTTCATGAATATGATAATCAGAACGCATGTTATTAGGCCTTCGGCATAAAAATGAAAACAGCCAGGGTTCTGGCATCACAATCAGATCATCTGAGAGCTGCATAATGGCTCAATAGGATCCAAAAATTGAAATAGACTCAAGTCTTTGATGAATGAAGGTGTTCCAGTTATATGAATATCAAATTTGCTCTGTACATAAATACAGTATTAATGGGAACATAAGCCTTGCCTATAATGCTTGGTAAAAACAAAATTATATTGATTGAACTATTTTATTCTTTTTTGTTGACAATGGGAAGAAAGCATTGAATACATTCTACGGCACAGTAGATGTAGACTAGGTTCAACCCATCCAGCTTGTTTGCACTTTGCAGGTAGCAGTTAAAACCTAATAAAATGCCTTTTATTTATCACATTTACAAAACACTAAACAAAACATCTTATATAATACCTGTAGTTTAATTTTCTCATGACTATAAATTACCAAAGTGACTTTCGCACCTAATAAATGAACAAGTATCACATAACCTTGTGATATCATTAAATTGAAAAGGAGAAGGAAAAAAAACTCCCTTGAGCTGTGGACAACATCCATGATTTCAATAAAAGTAATAAATAAATCCTCCCTTAAGTTCAGGCCTGACTCCCTAGGATATGGCTTCAATAAAAATATTATTGAAAAACACTCTACCTCATACGCCATGCAAAAAAATTATCCCCACTCTCTAATCTCTATTACTTATGCACCATAATAGAAGCGAATCTCTTCTGCCAAACTGGTAATTTGCAAATCAATTTCTGCCTTTGGAATTGAAATTCAAGAAAAACAAGTCATGGACAACTGCTAACAAAAAAACACCTCAATCTAAAGCATCAACAACCTTACAGACAGTAAAAGTATGTAGATATTACACAAAGTTAGGCAGGTTTGTTCAAATCCATTACTACCAACCACAATCATTTTTGTCCCATAAAATATGACTAGGTGTTCCAAATTCATGAGTATGCAGCATCCTAAATGAAGATGATTATGGTGATGAACTAATGACAATGAAGATGATGGTGTAGCCAAAGAAAAAGGAGAAAGAGAATGACAGCATAAATAAAAACATACCCCTAACACAATCAATTTCAGTGCCTTCCTGAAACCAAACACCTTTCCTTCACTATCACACATGCCTTTCCATTTGTCTGGCTTTAGCATTCTCTTTACCTGTTCCATGAAAAACAACAAAACCATAAAATAAAAAAAAGTAACCTACTCACCTTATAACAAGATTTTGTATCTATAATAAGCAACAAGATCTCCTTAGATACCCCACTATTCAAATGAAAAAACAGAGCAATCTCCACCAACATATATTTAGTCTATATTGCAAAGAGTGTGAAGATTCACAAATCTCAATACATATTCCACTATAGAAGAAGCCTCGGAAAGTGCAATCCACCCTATAGTTCTTGAGCATCATCAATCGATGAACAAGCATCCGATTACAGAAGATGCCTTTGACAGATTATCCACAGCCCATTTCACACGAAAGATATCATCAGCCCAATCTTCTTTACAATAGAAAAACTGCTGAGGGAGAAACCTAACAAATTGTTGTTGTCTATCTCTACCATCAGTCTTTAGAGGGAAACACAGCGCAGAAAACGTACTCTATGGTATCAGGATGAGGATGTAACGATGCAGAAATGAAGGATTAAACCTAAGCATAAGCAAAGCAATTAACAAAACCTAGTAGAGTTGTAGTCTTACAGTTAGAACAACCTTTACATGCGATTGAGAAAGACAGGGATCCCCAATGTCCCGCACGATGGAACTGAGTTTTCGCAAATTGACAGCCCCAGCTTTTCCCCAACTCCATTGCTTCTCTTCCTTGCCGCAATACATGACACGCACCTCTACCTTCAACCACAACGAAAGCAATGTCAATAACGAACTACACGCAGAATAAACCCCTAAATTTGACGCGGAAAGAGAACCTTCGATCAACGTTTGATTATTACCATTTGAAATTTTATAATTCGATAGGCAAACAATAAAGAGAATATTGATTCTATTGCGGAGAGGGAAGGGATTGTCGGAAAAGAGAGAATGCGAGAAGAAAATGGAAATGGAGAAGCTAAGGAATGATATCGATGGATCGTACGTACCGAAATGCGAATGGATTCGATAGGTTTGTGTTGAATGAAGTTCAGGTTGGGGAGGACCTCCTCCGTGCCTGCATCGTCGTGTTCGCTCCAATAACACTCAAAACACCGTTTTCTTTTTATTTTCCCGTCAAATATTTTCAGGTTCAAGGTCACTGCCAATGCTAAATAGTAAATATTTACCTTCAAACAATTAATTATTTCTTATTTATTATTTATTAATACTAAAACTATGGCTAAGAGTTTTAAAATAATTATTAAATAAATAAAATAAATCAACTACTCCGTGCTCGGTCATTAATCACATATTTCACAAAAATCTCTTGATTCAAATCATTCAACAACACTTTTATTCTTTAATCAACGATAATGATTCCATCTTTATTTTTTATTGGAAATGAAATCGTGATTAAAGATATTTATTTTTGTAAAAACTAATATGATGAGAAAGAGTTATTTTTTATTAAATTAAAAAATTAAAATTACAGCTTTAAAATAATTAGTTTTATTTTAAATTTAAATTTTATTATTATCATTTTAATTCTTACTCAAATGAAAAATAATACATTACTCAATTGATAGTTGTTGGTAAATTTAGCCGTGTAAAAATAATACATTACTCAGTTGAAAATATTGTACAATTCTCTTGCCAAGACTTGGTAAGGTTTTGTTTGCAAATTCCATAAAATAAACAGTTATTTTAAGTTTATTTGGTGTACTTTTGTTCAAGAAATTAATGATAATTAGGTCCTTTTGATGTGTATTGTGATGCTTCTCACCAGGGTCTGGAGTGTGTGCTGATGCAGAACAGGAAGGTGGTGGCATATGCTTCAAGGCAACTGAAGAACCATGAGAGGAATTATCTCACTCATGACTTGGAGTTAGCAACAGTTGTGTTTGCCTTGAAGATATGGAGACATTATCTGTATGGTGCTCGGTTCAGCGTCTTCATTGATCACAAGAGTCTGAAATACTTGTTTGATCAGAAGGAACTGAACATGAGGTAGAGGCGGTGGATGGAGTTTCTGAAGAATTATGACTTCCAGTTGATGTATCATCCTGGTAAGGCCAATGTTGTGGCGGATGTGCTGAGTAAGAAATCCATCCACATGTCTAGTATGATGGTGAAAGAGCTGAAGCTGGTTGAGGAGTTCAGAGATCTGAATCTCTGTGTGGAGTTAACTCAGGATCACATTAATTGTGGGATGATTACCATAACTAGTGAGTTCTTGAGGCAGGTTGGACAGAAGCAGTTGCAAGATGTTGAGTTAGTGAAACTTCTTGGGTTGCTGGGTACTTAGAAGACTATTGGTTTTGAGCTGGGTGAAGATGGAATCTTGAGGTTCAAGAGCAGAATTTGCCTACCTCAGGATGCTGAGCTGAAGAGAGTTGTGTTGGAGGAAGGCCACAAGAACAGACTTAGCATACATCCTAGTATGACTAAGATGTACCAAGACCTCAAGAAGACTTTCTGGTGGTCAGGTATGAAGAGGGAGATAGCTGAATATGTGGCGGCCTGTCTGACCTGTTAGAAGGAAAAGGTGGAACATCAGAAGCCGAGTGGGTTGATGCAGCAGATGGAGATTCTGGAATGGAAGTGGGATAGTATCATTATGGATTTCGTTGTGGGGTTGCCTAGGTCGGCTAGAAATAGTGATGCTATCTGGGTGATTGTTGATAGGTTGACCAAGTGTGCACATTTCTTACCTGTCAACATCAAGTGGTCCTTGGAGGATTTGCTGAGGACTTGTGTGTTAGACCACTTGGGAAGTTGGGAGGAGATCCTACCGCTGGTTGAGTTCACGTACAATAATAGCTTTCATGCTAGTATTGGGATGGCGTCGTTTGAAGCCTTGTATGGCAGAAGATGTAGGACTCCTCTGTGCTGGTATCAAGATGGTGAGTGAGTGGTTGTGGGACCGGAGTTGATCCTACAAACTACTAAGAAGGTGAAGCTGATTCAGGAAAGGATGAAGACAGCTCATAGTAGGCAGAAATCGTATGTTGATGAAAGGCGAAAGCCTTTGGAGTTTGCTGAAGGGGAACATGTGTTTCTGAAGGTGACCCCGACTTCTGGTATGGGTAGAGCGCTGAAGGCAAGAAGTTGACACCGAGGTTTGTTGGTCCCTATCAGATCATACAGCGTGTGGGTCTGGTTGCTTATCGGTTGGCCTTGCCACCGTCTCTTTCAAACCTATACGATGTGTTTCATGTATCCCAGCTGAGGGAGTATGTTCATGCCCTAGTCATGTGGTGGAGCTGGACAATGTGCGGGTGAAGGAGAATCTGACATTTGAGAAGTTGCCAGTAGTTGTGGTTGATCATAAGCTGAAGGAGCTGAGGGGCAAGACCATTGCTCTGGTGAAGGTGTTGTGGGATGCAGCTACGGGTGAGGCTACTTGGGAGGTGGAGCAGCAGTGCAGGGAGCGGTATCCGTTTCTATTCCCAAGTAAGTCTATTTTCGGGGACGAAAATTCCTGTTGTTGGGGAGGTTGTGAGAACCCCACTTTTGTTTTCCTTCTCTCCCCCAAATCTTTCTCACTTTCATTCTATTTTGCCCTTGGTCTCTTTTCTCTCTAGCTGAAGAGGTAATTCCTTGAGGTTCTTTTTCTCAACCACAAGCCGGGAGGAGCTAGCTGGAGCCGGAAACCCTTTTCTCTTCTCCTCCTTCATTGTTCAAGCTCTTCTTCAATCTTATTCTCTGTTTCTTCTTCCCGGAGCTCAGATTCTCACACCGAGGTAAGGGAAGCTAGTTCTTTGGCTGATTTTGTTGGAAATGAGTTCATAAACTCATTGAGTGGCTGATTTTCTGATGATTGATGGGCAATTTTGATGAAAACGGGTTTTCAGGGTTTCCGGGGTTTTGATGAAAATTCGGGGATTTTTCCTTGTTTGATGTTGCATGTGTAAAAAGGCATGATTTTTGAGTTGTTGGTTGAAAATGTGACACTTTGCTGGGTTTGCATGTGTTTGGGATGTTGATTTTTTGCAGGTTTTGGGTGAATTTTTCGAAGTGGTGAGGGTTACTGTTTGAAATTTGCGTCGGACGCAGTTCTTCGCGCCGGACGTGATTTGAAATGGGAAATCCCAGGGTGAATCACGCCGGGCGTGGGGAGAACCACGTCAGGCGCACTATCAGACGTGAATTTTATGTTTTTGTTACTGAAACTGCGCCGGGCGCAACATTATTTCGCCGGGCGCAATAGGCCTCTGTAGGTCTCTGGTTGAGATTTGCGTCGGGCGTGATTTTAATGACCCGGGCGTGCATTTTTCTTTCATATTTTTACTTTATAGACTTCATTAAAGTTGTAGCCTTGGATGTTAGCTTTCCAATGGCGCTAGAATCACCCAAAAAGGAGTTCTAAAACTCCAGATATGACTATTTTAGTGAAGAGGGGTCAAACTGCTAGCATTGCTTATAACTGTTGTGGTTTTTATCATTTTAACAAGGCAGATGAAGGAATTAAGACTTGGTGTCTTCATGAGAGTTGTAGGAAATTTTCTTATCTTTCATATGAGATAAGGATGAGCATGGTAGGAGTAGTATAACTCCTGATACGCTATTTTATGTGAAGGATGCCATTGCACAGTTAGTGATTTGGTTAAGTTGAAAGTTGTCTTAGGTGCTTAGGTTGATTGGTGTTGTTTGGGTGGGTAATTTGGCAAGATAGATGAGTTGTAAACAAGATGGATGAGCTGTATTATGTGTTGAATATGTTGTATGTTGTTTGAGTTGTTATTGCTGTTAAGATGAGCTGTGCTGAATGTTGTTTATGCTAATTTAAGTTGTTAATGATGAATGTTGTTGAGCTAAGTGATGATTTTGATGTGCTGTGAGATGTTCATGCTGCATTATGATGTTAAGCTGTATTTGATGTATATTGTTGTGCTGTAAGTTGTTTAGTTGTACTGGATGTTGATATTGTTGTGCTGTGCTGAGTTGTATGCTGTTATAGCCGCTATGTCGGTGTTGTTATAGCCACTAATGTGGTGTTGTTATAGCCGCTATGTCGGTGTTGTTATAGCCGCTAAGTTGGTGCTGTTATAGCCGCTAAGTCGGTGTTGTTATAGCTGCTAAGTCAGTGCTGTTATTTGCCACTATGTGGTGCTGTTATTGTTGCTATGCGGTGTTGTTATTGCTGCTATGCAGTGCTGTGCTTCGTGCTGTTAGGAGTTGTTGTAGGCCGTAAGGCTGAGCTGTTGATCACTAAGACTATAGGAGTTGTTTTCGAAATTTACCTCATCCCATTGTGTGGATGCAGCGGCTGTGGTGCTCTTCGAGCCCAATTTGTTGAAAACCCTCCCTGGGAAGCTAACCCTTGGAGTGGTAACCTTTTGTTCTCCTCTAAGTTCTTAGTGGTCCCGTGTGTGGGCAAGGTCGAGACACACGTGTACAAAGCGACCACGGTATAGGGGCTAGGTTTAGCTATACCGCTTACAAGCGACCAATACTAACTTATATGCGTGACGACGCATTGTGTGTTTACTGCTGTTTATCGCATTGTGTGTTTACTGTTGTTTACCGCTGTGTACTGCTGTTTATTGCTGTTATTACTGTTTGATGTGAGATGTGTGTTGTTATATATATATTAAGTTGACGTTGTTAAGCTGATTGATGTGCTGATAACTGTAGCTATTTACTATTCATATATTTATATATGTATGTTGTTTCTTTTCACTAGCTTACCCTTTGTTGTTTCCATGTGGTTTGGACTGCGATGATCATACTATGTATGGGAGCAGAGCAGGGTTAGGTTGGTGTGCTGAGGAGAGTTTGCAGCTGGCAGATGGCGTTTGTTTTTGTTGTTGTATTTAGCTACTTAGTGTAGCATTGTTGGTTGTATTTTGTGCACTCTAACTCTAGCCAAATTTGGACCTTGTATATATATATATATATATATATATATATTCTAGAAACTATATGTATATACTTGTTCTTTTCTGTGTGGTGTTCTGGTGTGTTGTGCTGTGTGTAGTGATCAGTCGGGTCGTTACATATTTAAATGATGTAAAAAAAAAATTAAATAGAATGCACCGAGTGTCATTCATTCAATGGAAAATAATTAAATTATTCATTCGAGATTGAAGTAGTACAGGAGTAATTTTAGGTTTAACTGTGTTTTT